ACAAATTTAGACAAATCAGAATTTGACAAGTTTAAAGGCGTTACCAAAATAGCTCAGAAGATCCCTCCTTCCCTCAGATACTTAGAGAGGTTATTTCTTAGTGTGAAGTGAAAATGTTAAACAGATTATTTGAAGCACAAATGTTTTAACATTAATACTAATATTATGGGGTGTTAATATACTGCTAGATTTAATATTAAAATCAACAAATACTGATCTGGTGTAATTTAAGATCTGAAATGAATCAATACAGAAAAATATTCATTTTAATCCACAATGCAAAGTTAAGGACACATTAATCAAACACTTTTAAGCAAATTGTTCATTCAACAGAATATGAGATAGTAAAAAGGACATTTAGGACAAGAACAATAAGCTTTATTCAGAGAGTAAAAGTCTCATCTTCTGCATGAGACCTTCAGTTTTTAGCTAAGAAAAGGGAGAAGGACTTCTTGTGGCTCCCGTATAGGGTAACAAGGTCATTGAGTAGGGCTTTTCTGGGTTGGGGACCAGACAGTTAGGATGTGGCACACCAGTTCATCTCGTTGATCGGCACCACGGTGTCAGATTGACCCGTGTGAAGAAGTAGGTTGAGCCTGCAAGTTAAAAGTTAAATTTTGGTCATTTTGATGAAATACTTGGCCTTTTGGTACGCTACACTCTGTAAGTTTAGTTTTACACATTTATACAGATTCCTGTTGTTATTTATAAGATTATAGATATCACTAGCAGCTAGATGTGGTGTATCTGGGGCATCCAGGGATAAAAGTGAGGTAAAATAATACTATTCTAAACTCTGTTTCTCAAAACTAAGGCCTTTTAGAATGCTGTCTACATCTGGTAAGCTAATTATTTTTCATAAACATTCTTCAAAAGAAATCGTAACAGCAAATTTCCTGCTGACAAGTATGCAGAAGTCAAAGAAAACCAACCCTAAAAATACTCTGATAGAAATAGTTTAATTAATTCTGCACTTTTCTTGTTCGTTTGGGTTAAATTCTATGAGATGTGCATCCAGTCTTTTCAAAATAGTGTCCATGAATAGTACAAACAGATGCATATCTTATCAAAGTTACCAGATTGCATGCTCGTTTCCATAGCAAAAATAAAAAATTGATCCAGATTAGGATGCAACAGAGGCTAAAACATACTACAGCATGAGATATTCCTCTCAGCTGCTGCTTTATCGTAACATCCTAGAAATAATTTGGTCTTGACCAGTGATGGGAAAAGAGAAAACGAAGAATGTTTACTTTAAAAGTCATCTTAAACCTCCTGATTTCTAGTTTGTCTTACCCACTTCTTCTGTGCTGTGATCTACTCACATCACAGCGAGCCGACGAACCTGTTCCCATAACCTGCACAGCAGCAACCAGAGCTGGGATTTAAACAGCACCCCAAATAACTGGGTGCAACTGATCCACTGTAACCATGGCAACACTGCATGTTCGTCCTCATCTTCAGCACAGAGGCAAGATTCAGTAGGAAGAAAGAACATGACCTTTATTAAAGAGAACAAAACAGTACAGCAGAACTTTCACTTATCCATCTGTTCAGGGTTTTTCACACAGTCATGCAGAAAAACAATGAACATTTTAACTATTTCGTAAAAGAAAAAACCTAAACAAACTGAGTTTGTTTTGCTCTTAATTTACAAAGAACTGAGAGCTGAAGCTTACGTTCTACCTGATAAATGAGAGAAAAGATGCCTGTTGTTTGGTTTTACGCCTGATTGCATCAGAATGTGTTGCACGTTTGCAAACCGTTTGATGTGTTTAATATTCATGCATTCATCGCAAAGTAAAGAAAGCAACAAACAAATGTTAATTTCCTAAATTAGGGATTAAACACATGGCAACAGCTGGATGTTTTTAGTGAATTGGCACATTTTTGTGGGCTAACAGTCAACCAGGCTATACTTTCTGTAAAGGTTAACGCAGCTCAAGATGAAACGAGTCAAACAGGTTTAAAAGGAACAAAATGTCAAAGCACTCACAGGTAGCTCAGATGTAGACCTTGGTGGAGTTGCTGGATCAGTAAATCAAACAAAAACATAGTAAATGCAAAGAAACTAAGCTTCTTTAAAATCATCAATCCTTTTATTCAAATATTATGTAAATTTTATGATTAAGCTTAACTGCAGTTAATGAGATTAATAGGGACCAGTTTTGATTGGAGCTCCAGAACAAATCATGTGATTTCTATTTAAAAAATAAACATACCAAAAGTTATTTGGGAGTTATTATTCAACACTCATAAATCTTCCACTAAAGATTCAGTAACAATGGATCAAAAGGTGTTTATACTTGGAGTTTCTGTACATCATAAATACAGCAAATACCATTTTGTCCTGCCACTATTTATAATATTATTATTTCATAATTCAGGCTTTAAACCGTTAAATATGAAGCTGAAAATATTAGAAAATTAGAAAATAAAGGATTGATCTCAGTTATCAAACATTTTAGACACATTCCCATATCATTATGCCACCACCACTTCACAGTTGAGAACATACTCACTGGTTGTTGAGGACTGTTACATCTGTAACTTATAGTTGTTTTCTTTAATGGCATAACATTTTTTTCAACAAGGTTGTTTTTATTAACTTTTCACAATATTTTAAAAACAGAACAAGAACAAAGAAAAAAAATCAACAAGACAAAATCAAAACACAGAAATAATCTCACAAAAGAATAAATAGCAACAAATTACTGAAAATGTCCACAGACACACCATTAAAATCTGACACAAAAGTCAACCATCCAGAATTACATTTTTCAGGTGGTCCCCTCAGTGTTTTCCTGATTTTCTCCAGGTTTACATGAGACATTGTCTCCACAACCCAGTGGCCATATGCTGGCAGGCCAGAATCGTTCCAATTGGCAAGAAAAAGTCTTTTAGCCAGCGTACAGCAAAGGTTATCATATGTAGATGATAAGTGTCGAAAGAAGCATCCACCATGACCTCCAAACAAAGCGGTCAAAGATGGTCCCACAGGTTTTGGAGAGTGCGTCAAAAAAAGGACCACCAATATTACTGTGTTGGACACGTCCAACATGAAGTAGAGTAGCGGGTAACTGTTTGCAACATTCACATGTCGAGTCCAAGCCTGGCCTAATTTTAGACAGTGTCACAATGCGGTGTTGGTAGGACCCAAAATGCAGTACCCAGGATAACACGAGGCAGGGGATGATGTAAAGTAAATCCTTTATTTTGCAGGATGAGTCCAAAAAACAAAAAAAATCCAAAAAGGGCTGGAAGCCAAAAATCCAAAAATGTCCAAAATATAAACCAGAGATCAGAAATACTAGAAACCACAAGAAGAACCAAGAAACACCAGAGCTAGGAACGAGAGACTGACAGAATAACAACAATGGACCAACACAAGACAAAGACAAGACAGGGCTTAAATAACAGGGAGGAGCAATTAAGGGAACAGGAAGCAGGTGTGTGGAGTGAGGGCTGGAGGGAAGGCAGGTGACAATAATTACCTAAATGGGGAAACAGAACCAAAGGAGGACAGATAAACCTAAAACTACAAATCCAAACTAAAAGGCTGCAGGAAGGACTAACACACACACACACAGACATAAATAACTCACACACACATATACTGGGCTGGGGAACAAGAGGCTGGAGCTGCAACTGGAGGGACAGAGGATAACTAAATGAACACCAGACCTGAGGGAATAATAAAAAGGCCTACAAACAGAAGACACAATATTGAGACGCAGACAAAGGACACATGAGGGCGCTAGACACAGAAGGGAAACAAGAGAGGATGGAGAAACATCAGGAGACACATAAAGGAGGGGGCAGACGCAGACCATGACAGACAGTCTTGGACCACAGTACACGGTGCACTACTTTGAACTGGATGACTATGTCTAACACACATTGAGGGCTGTAGAACCTTTGTGCCAAACCACTCCCAACAATCAGATCCAATTCCCATTTCTCTTTTAAGAGATCCAGACTGGTTGTTGCTTTGTTGGTTAGTCAGTTGAACCCAAGGCTTTCTGATCTGCCCTCGCTGAGGCTGGTGGGGCTCTTTTATGCTAAAGCAAAGAAAGGCACTCTTATTAGGAGACATTGGGAAGAAAAACTTTGAATGTATCATTCAAACCTCATGAGTTGATATGTTATTAGTACCTGAATGTGAGAAAATCCTTCAGGAAAAAAAGAATAATTTTCACACACTTAAAAAAGACATCAGCATTAAAATGGGGCTAAAACAGTAAATGATAGAAATGAAAGGTGATTGTCACCTAGACGTCTGAATATGATAAATACACCACATCATCATTGTTACATAACTGTTCAGCAGAATCAAATAGCACCAAGAAAATGAGACATCATTGATGAAAGCATCAGGACTGCTAGTCGGTTAAAAAGGTGCAAAATAAAAGCTCCTGATTGGTCTGTGTATGTTCAAAAACCAAAGTTGGGACATTTGGGTCACACATTTTGAATCACGACTGAATGAACAAGAGCTTCGATGCAAATGTGACAAGGCGAGCGTCCAGTCACTGTATCCCGAATGATCATGCGCCCTGGCTACTTAGCCACAGGGATATCCCTTTCGCTGACTGGTTAGCATGCGTGACTATCTGGTGATCAAATCCCATCCAGGCCCTCATTTCTCCACCTTGCCACACAAAGCTTGAAATAAGCTGTAGGCTGCAGAGGTGGGAGCTGTTGCTGCTCCTCCTCATAGAAAGGAGTCATCTGAGGTGGGCTTTCTGACGTGGATGCCCCCTGATCAACTTTCTATGGAAGTTACTGGGAGGAGGCCAGAACCAAGAGATTTGAGCTATGAGGCCAAGAGGAACTGTCCCTGAGAAGATCGGGTTGCCTGAGATGGACAGATGAAAAACCAAAATAAACTTAAAATATCATATTAGAAAATTATTTGTTGAGCGAGCATAAACATGGCATTTGAAACAAAAAAAATCAATCCAGAGGATGATAAATGATTCCAGAGGCTTTAACGCATGCTCAGACATTTAGATCAGATCTCCCTCTCCTCCTCCTCCTCTCTCTCTCTCCCCCCGATGAAACTGAGCAGGAGTGTGTGCGCGGGTGTGTTTGTCTGAGAGATGGACGAGGGCAGCAGGCTCCCATAAAGCACACATTTCTCCCCGCGGAGGAAATCGAGGAGGGAGTGGGTCCCCGCTGGAGCTTTGCCCTTGAGGAACCCAGGAACGAGGGCAAACAAACGGCCCCAGAAGATGGAGATGCTCGCTGCGTTCACAGGCTGCTGGTGAGGTCTAGTCCTGGTTACAGACAGGTGAGTGAAGGTTAGTGGCTTCTGGTGGTCACAACTAATGTTGAACTGATGTCACAGCTCACCATCCGCGACCGCGGAGCTCCAGGAGCGCATCGAGACGGGGAGCGGGCGCGCGCGTCTCCTCATTCAATAATCCGTCCAGTCTTTCCTTCCGGACAGAATAACAGTTAATGCTTGGATCTTGTTACGATCTATGTCATAAAACGCCTCCAGACAGCTGAGCGACCAAGTGTTCCCCGAGGGGCCAAGGAGCTGCGCAGTGTCAGAATAAAAGAGCAATAATCATTTATGATGGTTTGTCTCAATCAGCGGCTTCTTCCTCTCGTGTGTCTCTCTCTTTCACGCTTTTGGTGTCACAGAAGAGCCCAACTAATAAAAGATAACCTTGAGGATGACATTTAGCTACATCACTCCAAAGCACATTAAACATCATGTTCCTTTATTATGGGGGCAGCTTTATTAATTGATTTGTCACCATTAAACACCACAGCTGCATAATGTTTCATGTCTGATAAACGGTTATCCAGCATCTATAAATCTATTAATTGTTGCATGCCTCCTTGGATGAAGCATGTGCTGTTAAGCTGTGTTGGCAACTTATTTGTGTAAGGTGCAAAAAAAAAAAAGCTTTCAGCGGCAGCAGAGACAGCAGCACTGCAGAGAGGCAGCCCGCATCATCCAACAGATAGCTGGCTGTGAGGAGAAGATCAGGCAGGAGCATCTTGATCGCTGTCAGGTGTCATCAGAGCAGCCTCTAATAAATCATTTAGGTAGAAAACCTGACTTATATTTTACATTCAGCACAATCGTCTAGTTAAAGGATTTCGAATGGATTTGATTCCTATAAGGAAATGTTCTACAAACCCATTTGTATTTATTTTTATTTTCAATCAAGAGAAATGTGCAGAATGCAGCCGTTGGCACTTGTGTCCCCACAAAGAAAGAAACATCCGCTTTTCTACTCATCGGGAAAATATCACTAAACCAGGAAAGAGATCTAAAGGACTGTCCGGTGTTTAGTTTGGAAAAATAAATAAATAAATAAATAAAATCTTCATTTTTTTGGGTCATTTCAAAGTTTGTTTCTGTTCTAAATGTGTAACTATTTAGGAAGAGTTCAAAATGTCAAAAACTAAGAAATTTTCTGTTTATAAATGAGAATAAAATGAAAACTGTTGTAAATTTGAAAACATGCAACAAAAAAAAGTCAAACAATTCACAGAGAGAGAGAGAGAGAGAGAGAGAGAGAGAGAGAGAGAGAGAGAGAGAGAGATGTTAATCCTTCATACAAAGGTCATAGAAAAGGGATTAATCAGTGTGAGCGGTCAATAGAAAAACAGACAAGAAAATTCATTCGAAAAAGAACAAAACAGATGATAAATGAGGAGCGCCCTGCTTATGTAACCATCACTGCCAACAGACACTGAGCCTTTTATACCAGAAGATACAAAAACTCAATAGGACAGTTTTTATTCTGTTAAATTCAATTGGTACAGATTCAGCATGTCATACAGGAGAACAGTTAAAGTGGTGATTAGTCAGAAATGTAGAGCTTACGCACATTCAGTGCAGACTGGAGGCACACACGGCAAGGTGTGAGTCACTGCTATTCTTATCTCGGATATTAAAGATACATGAGATATCAGACTGAACCCCAGAGAGGGACAAGCATGACGGAGAAGCATGTGGGAGGGTTTGCAGGAGTCCGAGTACGGATGCTAACCATGTTGTTTCTCCTGCAGGTGTACGTCAACTCAGAGGCTTCAAAATGGAATCCACTCACCTTCTGAGTGGATCAAAGAAGAGAGTGAAGATCCACCCTCACACAGTAACAGCAAAGTATGCCACTCAAGCCCCGCACTCTCCTCAGCCGGGAATACACACTCACTTCCCCCAGCCAGGGGACGAAGGCTACGATGACGCTCCGTCCTTTGAGGACTTTGGCTCCTTCCTTGAGGAGACGTCAGACAAGAAACGACTGACGGAGAGCAAGAAATGGCCCATGACACTGTTTGGCTCCAAAGATAAAAACAAGGATGCATCCCATAAACTCCAGGCAACTGGAGGAGGGGGAGAAGGGAGCGAGGGGGGAGCCAAAGCAGTGAAGGGTTCTGGGAAAGGCGTAGGGGAACAACTGGCTAGTTTTGGTGAGGCTTCTGTGTCGGCATCTCGCTTCACCTGGCTGGGGCTGTTTTGCGCGGCGCTGGCTCATGGCTGTTTGATAGTCCTGACCCGCCTTGCCGTTGAACGCTTCAGCCTTGGACCCCTGTTTCTCCTCCTGGTGCGGTCTATCGTACAGCTCCTGTCTGTGGCCATCCCACTATATCGAGGGCAGAACCCTTTTGGACCGGAGGGTTATCGACTACGTCTACTCTGTTATGGCATTGCATACTCCCTCTCCCTTTGTTGTGCCTACTCATCCTTAACCTTCGTCTCCCCTGGAGATGGTACAACAACGTGGCGTTTGGCAACTACAGCCCTGTCTGCAACCCTTGCCTTCCTGCTTCTGGAGGAAAGGCTAGGACTGGCTGACGGGATAACCACAGCAGCGGGATTGTGCGGTTTGGGACTCCTACTACTTCCTACCACAGACGAGAGCTATTCAGATTCACCAATTGACCCAGTTGCCTTCTGGAAAGGTGCTTTTGGGTGGTCCCTTTCAGCACTCGCTGGGTTGTGGATGGCTCTGGCTTTGGTTGGGTATCGTTCACTGAAGGACAGGGTGGGAATTGGTACTGCTTTGTTCACAGTGAGTTGGACAGGCTGCCTGCTAACCCCAGCCACTTTGGTTCTGCTCCAGGAAGGCTGGTCCTGGCCAATGAGTGCCCCAGCATGGGGCCTTATCCTGGGTTTGGTAGCTTGCTCAGTAGCAGCCTTCTTAGGGATGACACATGCCCTCACCCGTCTCCACCCAGCTCTGGTTTCTGCCTCCCAGAGCTTGGAGATTCCCATTGCCATGCTGCTTCATCTTGCAGTGTTCCCTGTGGCTCCCACTGCTCCCGAGGTTGTGGGCAACGTGATGGTTGTGCTGAGCGTCGGCTGGCTGGTGGCGATGAAGCTGCTTCCCTCTCGAGGTGGCGGGCGGCGCCAGAGGGAGGAGTATGAGGAGATTCTGGAGTCACCCATAAAATAAACCCCATATTTCCTCTTTTTTTCTTGTCTCCTTCACTTCTAGAATCAGGAGTGCTGTGAGAAACCATTTCCCCTCTTTCAGGTGATTAACTCCGTCTGGAAATACAAAATGCAATCGATCATAAAAAATAGGAAATCTGTGAGGGGGCGAAGTCTTTTCCACAGCCCTGTCGGATCCACTGTACAGAAGAGACATAAATGTTCATCTGAGATTTTGTATTGTTGTCGTTGCTTTTGGGAAAGTGCCAATATTGTGTTGTCTGTTGCAGTGATGATGTGATATTAAAATCTGTCGGCGTGCACGGCTTTGGCTACTTTTACTCAGAAACGGTTTGCAGATGCATCCACGTCGGCTGCAGGATTAATTGAACTCATCGTCAGTGACGGATGACAGGAGAGGAAAAAAAATGAGGAAGCAAGAAAGATGAGCAAGGCTCGTCATCAGAGGAGGACAAACGGATGGAGAGCAAAGAGAGATGATGGGATCGGTTTAGAGATAAGAAGCAGAGCAGGAAGGGAAATGACGAAAAACAGATGAAAGCAGAACAGGAACGCAGTTGGGCCCAGAAAGCAGAGCCGATGTTAGCTGAATATTGTCCTGCCTTATAAAACAAGAGTTTTATGGACAAGAGCGGCTCTTTTTTCTTATGGTCTCTTTTTTTTTTGTCCCCTGCTGCTTTCTTCTCTCTCAAAAAGAGCTAATAAAAAAACCCTACACACTATTTTTATCAACAGTAACACCATTCTTATCTCTGCATGTGTTTGCAGAAATGTCTGGAGCTTTTGTGGATCAGGGAAACCCGTTATCTGCTCTTTCACATCTTACACCTGACATTTAGGACAAAAGAAACAATGATAAAATATTGCACCCAGCTGCAGATCTTTAGAGGCTGAATCATGTCGAAATGGGCACAAGTGCACATTTCATTACAAAACAATGTTTCTATGATGTCATTGTGCTTGGGAAATTCAATTTTAGTTTTCTGTTGTTTTCCCAAAACATCTGCTGTTATCAAACCTGAGAAGGACAGCATTTGCACTGTTGTGTTAGTATAAAATACTTTAAATCAGTCAGCTCAAAAACAAATGATGGTTACTTTTAGAAAATAAATCAGTTTGTTTTGCAGAACTTGAGAGAGTGCTACCTTTGGTTAATATAGTAAACAATTTACTTTTATTCCCTTTGCCTCTTTTTTGTGGTGTAGAAGCACACACACACACACACACACACACAGAGAGAGAGAGAGAGAGAGAGAGAGAGAGAGAGAGAGAGAGAGTGTGTGTGCGTGTGTGCGTGTGTGTGTGTGTGTGTGTGTGTGTGTGTGTGTGTGTGTGTGTGTGTGTGTGTGTGTGTGTGTGTGTGTGTGTGTGTGTGTGTGTGTGTGTGTGTGTGTGTGTGTGTGTAACAGTTGGCACATCGCAGTCCTGGCACAGTTTCACTAATCAGAAACACTGTGACTATTATAAGTCGCGGCCTCTTTACATTCAGACACTCTTAAAGCAGCTAATGAGCACAAGATTTACACACCACCCAGACCGCTGACACACCTTCCTGCGGTTGTGGGTATTAGACGCCATCACGGCTACATAAACACGGAGACAGAGGCGTAAACGCTGGCACGTGCGTGGCAGGATAAACACGAGCTCTGACTTAGACAAATTAAAGTGTTGAAAATGAGATCACCACGTGGGAGGAGGGAGGAAACCGTTTCCATCTGAGTGATTTGGCTGTTTAACAGATTTTTATTCATTAAAGCAAGCCCACATATTAATTGGGACATTACAGTTTGTTCTCACCAGAAAAAATAAGCTCATATATATATAATAAAGCAAACTTTAAGAAAAGGGTAAGTGCGTTATCCCTGTGTGTAAATTCATGTATCTCCCTGATTATTGCTCAGTGTTCCTGCCTGATCCATCATTTCGCTCAACTGCAGGTGAACCTTCTGCAGCTCTGTCGCTATAGCAACCAGAGACCCTTTCACTGCATCCACATCTGATGGTGAAGTCATTCCCTTCAGGTCAGACAGGAGGGGTTTTATCCCTGATGTCCCCCAACCTCCAGGTCTCGGTGTTGGTTGGCTCTCTGCGGTCAGTGATGCAAGAGATTCTTCCAGGCGCTTTAGTCGAGCATTCTCCTCCTGCCCGCTGTGCAGCATCCTCTTCAGGGTAGCGTTTATTCGCCTCTCCCTGTCTGCCTCTTCCCTACGTAGCTCCACCATGCTGTCATGCAGCCTGAGATCGGCCTGCTCCGCCTGCGCCCTGCACGACGAGCCCAGGCTGGGCATGTACTGCTGGAGCGCGCTCTTCAGCAGCTTTTCCACCTGGGCCTTCGCAGAGACCATTCCGCCACAGCACTGCCGCACCGATTCCAGCAGCATGTTCTGCTTCATGTGGGAGTCCTCCAGAGATATGAAAAGCTTGTCCCAGCGGGAGAGGTCTGCATGGCACCCTGCGTTTAGGGACTCCCCTGCAGAACAAAACCACAGGGGTGCGTCAATACTACAGTCACACAGCAAAGGTTGAACGGCATTGGCTCTGGATGAAAACGACATATTTAATGAAAGCTTGGATGACAAAGGAGCAAAAATTGCATTTAGCAAAGAAAATTAGTAATGATTACTTATTGAAAGCTTATAGATTTGCTTTCTTCAGTATTCTTGAATATTTATTTAATCATACAAATGTCTAAAAAGCAATAAATCTACTATTGTTCTTATTGTACTTTTTTCCTCCTGCTGTTCTGTCCCTAAGCTGCTTCCTCTTTAAATAACAACAATTCTGCAGAAGTTTAGTTGCTTTTGAGTTTGTGTGATTTTCTTGAATCTTATTGCTTTTCTTAAGATTGCAAGAGTGGTACTTGAAGATTTTGGAGACTATTCTTTTGACCAATAAGCACAAAGTGGTATGCACCCCGGATGTGTCTCCAGTCCATTCCAGAGCCAACAGGAACGGACATGAACACACGATTAGATGTTCAATTTAGACTTCATATTTACCTTAAATGTGTGTTTTTAACTGTGGGAGGAAAACCTGTGGCTTCATGGAGGAAACATGCATATTTGACACATAAAAAGCTTTCATAGGATCGATCTGGTCCTTAGATCTCATTTTAGTAAAGCTTATGTATAGTGAAAGTGCTAAATAAAGGCTCAAATTTCTTTGACTTTAGACTTTTAATAAATGCGATTAAGGAGCAGAGACAAGTTTTCCTCATCTTCAATGACCAAAGATGGTAACTTTTTGAAAAAAGCCCAAAGTTGATGATATTATTTCTGCAAAAATTGTATTATGACTAAAATATGAAACGACATTTGTGAACACACTCATACATCACCAAAATAAACAAGACTATATAATTTCCTCATAAACGAGGACCTAGTGTTTAGTCGTTGCCGTGGAAGCTAATGATAAATTCCTCTCAATGAGCCATCTGGTCAGAGACAAGAAATCGACACTCACCCTCCTGCTGATCCGGGACAATCTCGTTATCGTAATTGTCGGCGATGTTCCCTTCAAACTTGATCTCATTCACACACAAACATGAACCCACGGTGGTCAGCAGGAACACAACACTGAGCACACGCATGATGGAGCTCGGAGGTCTCGTGTTGTAGAGGAGGCAACAGCGGGTTTCATGAAATACAGTATCAACCTGCCGTTGGTGTTTCAGCTTCTCTCTTCTCACCGAGGCAGGCGTGCTGCCTTATAAATCTGACAAGAAGGAAGGAGGGAGGACGCTCGGGAGGGTGTGTGTGGAGACTGGGTGAGTAATGCTTTCATGGAGGTAGTGTCAAAAATCATAATGACATGGAAACATGGGCAATATGGGGAATGATGGGGGGCTTCAGGGACACATGAATGAGAATAAAAACAAAAAAAAAATAGGAGAAATTAAATTATTTCAAAGTTAGTACAGAAAGTAGGTGTCATTTAGAAATTACTTTCAAGAAAACTGAAATATTTAGGAGCAAAAGCATTTCCAATAGCTGTGCTAAATAAAAGGAGTTGATACGATGACTGGAAAATGTTGCATTGCATTCAAACTTCTAATGTGACTTTTATGAAATAGTATTAAAGCTTTGTTTAATACAATCTCACATTTTGTAAGTTTTTAAAATTTAAATCAAATTTTTTATCAAAAATACTAAGGAACTTCAGCTTTTTGTTGCTTTTGATATTTTTGGGGGTAAAACACAACAATAAGGATCAGGATGCCTCCTGGATGCCTCCCTGGTGAGGTTATCCAGGCACATGCAACTGAGATGAGACCCAAGGGAAGACCTAGGACAAGCTAGAGGGACTACGTCTCTCGGCTGGCCAGGGAACGTCTTGGGGTTCCCCGGAGGAGCTGGCCCAAGTAGCTGGGGAGAGGGAAGTCTGGGCCTCTCAGCTTAGGCTGCTGCCCCCGCGACTCTGGATAAGCAGCTAAAAAAATGAATGGATGGACAAAAAGTATGTAAGAAATCTTCACTTCAGTTGCACAAACTCTAATATTTGAATATTTTTTTTCTATTTTGAAGTGTACTGTATTTTGTTTACATTCAGAACTTAAGCATAAGAGACTTTTTTCCCTTTTACCTGGAAAAAAGCAAAACACCCACCATTACATGCAGTAAGTGTAATTTGATTGATTTGTGTTATTCAGGCAACACAAAGCAGCAAAACCCAGAACAAAAATCGCCATCAGCATCATAAATGAATAGATTACAGCATGAATTAATTCAACAAATGGACAGAACATGTATTTCTAAAGGAAATCCGTACTCAAACGCCTTTTCCTGCTACTTTTTACGTTTTACTGATATGTTAGTCACACCCTGCACTTAGCATCAACTCAAAGCTTTTAACCTGCAAAATACCACCGTTCAAGTCCCTGGATTATACTACAGCTTGGAAAAACAACAATTTTACCACTTTAAATGAAACGATGTTGCTAAGAAACACATATGTTCTGCTTTTAGTAGCCTGGTGATGTTGTTGCTTAAGTTACTGCAGTCTTTGTGAGGACAGCTGACCTTGAGTGTATAGACTCATAGCTAGCAGGTGTTCAGCTGCAGACATCCAGCATGTCAAGGTCAGAGGAAGTGACCTGACCCTTCTCCCTGCAGGCCGGCAGACTGCTCCTCATACTGCACATGTCAGCATGCACGTCTGATCTGATCGTCTCTGTCTGGCAGGTTATAATTATAGCAGTGGGAGAACCTGGGGGGGACGCTGGCAGATTTATCGCAGGAAAAGATAAAAACATGCAGGAAGAATTGGAGAAAACAGGCTGGGGGAAAATGATGATAGTTCGTTGGCGAGAAGGTGCAGAAGGTCAGGGCAAACCCACAGAAATGTCCCTGTGTGTCATCAGAAGAGCATTTTCCTGGCTTTCTTCCATAACAATCGTTTGAGCTTGCTGCTGTTTCCATGCTGTTTAGGTTTTACCTCAGAAATTTTAATTTGTTCCACTGAAAAGGTCAGTTTTATTTTTAGGCGATTCGACGATCCTGCCACAGGAGTCACATTTATCAGCCACCTGCACACCACGCCTACAGTTCAGCTGTCATGCAAAAACACTCCCAAAGGAAGGAAGAGAGATTTGAGATAGAGTGACATTTAAAATGTAAAAACATGGAGCAAGATGGACAAGCAGAAGGAGGTAATTTCAGAAGAATATTTCAGGAAAGACCAGCGGGAACTGAGAGAAAACAGATGCGACTGTCTCGCCTTGTCCCGATAAAACAAGAAAAAAAGGCTACGAGGGAAAGCAGGACAATGGGTGTTGTCAAAAAAAACTCAACAGCAAGGACCTGACTGCGGAACAAACCACATATTAACATGACTGCAAACACACACACACACACACACACACACACACACACACACACACACACACACACACACACACACTGGTTTAGGAAAACTGTGTGGTAATTTTTGGGTGTTTCCCTGTTTGTCCCGTGTGTGTGTCGGATGGCGAGGAAAGATGTTAAAACAGCAAACAGACAAAGGTGGTGTCGCATTAGATTTTAAGTAATGCCTTTGTTTAATTTCATAATGAAACTAATGTAGTGCAGAAACACACAAAAGTCCATTTGGTCTAACGTATTCTAAACTGTCAAGGTAATTGTTTTTACTTCTCCAGTGCCTTCAACACCATCCAGCCTTCACTACTGAGAGGGAAGCTGGAGGGAGCCGGTGTGGACAAACAGCTGACCGCATGGCTTATCGATTATCTAACCAACAGACAACAGTATGTGAGACTCCATGACTGTGTGTCAATGTGAGGTAGTAATCTGTAGCATGGGGGTCCAACAGGGCACAGTTCTCTCACCCTTCCTGTTCAACCTGTACACCTCCAACTTCTTTTATAATTCAGACAAGTGCCACCTACAAAGGTTCTCGGATGAACGGCCATCATCGGATGCGTATCAGATGGGAACGATCGGGAATACAGGGGGTCATCAGTGACTTAGTGTGAGACCAACACTCTTCGCATCAATGCCAGCAAGATGAAGGAGAGGGTCACAAACCTCAGGAGGAAGTCACCCCTTACAACAATGGTAAACACCCAGGGAAAAGACATTGAGATAGTGGATTATTACAACCTGGGTGTTCACCTCAACAATAAACTGGACTGGTCTACAAACACAGATGTCTTGTATAAGAAGGGCCAAAATCGACTCCACCTGCTGAGGAGACTGAGGTCCTTTGGAGTACGGAGGACTCTGTTACGGACTTTTTATGATTTGGTGGTAGCATCTGCCCTTTTCTATGCAGCGGCCTGTTGGGGGAGCGAAGGTACAAACAGGAACAAGAGCAGGATTCACAAACTGGTGCGGAGGTCTAGCTCTGTACTGGGATGCCCTCTGGAGTCTGTGGTGGCGGTGGTGAGAGGAGGATGTCAGCTAAGCTGACGTCCATCATGAACAACCCACATCTCCTTTAACATGAATTGGTGGGTGCGCTGAGCACCCCTGCTGCAGGAAGGAGCACTTCCGTAGATCATTCAATCCAACAGCAGTTAGGATAAATAACACATTATGATGTCATGAGTCACCCAGCCACTTTAACCCGGTGGTCAGTACTCCATGCATAATATGCACATGTGTGCTTACACGTTACTGCCTGTATTTACAGATATCTATCACTTGGACAGCAAAAAGTAGTAGTAGCAGAACAGCTGATACTTTTTATATATTATTACTTCCACAATGTTTCACAACCCCCTATCCATTATGTTTACTGTGTATGTGTCTACATAGGAAGTACTGTAGTGTATAGTGTGTTGTGTTTTTTTATTTTGCATTCTTGGACACTTTTGTACTTCTTTACTATCTGTCTGAACTGCAGTAATGCTAAAATGTCCCCACTGTGGGATCAATAAAGTCTAGTCTCATCTCATCTTAAACAGGGACAAGTGATGACATTTTTATTGATTGCTTTAGCTTCTCTGAGATTTTATTTATTAAAATGTATCAACAATGCACACATTTCCAATTGCACATCTCATAAAAAACTGCATCTGCAATAAAAACTCCCATTTCTAATATCTACAACACTATTTTCTATTAATTGGTTTGGACACAACCGTAATTTCTAAGCGTAATTCTTATGCCGTGCAACCCAAAACCTAAAGAAGGTGGAACGTATCCATGTAAATAAATATGAAAGTGTCTTGCTTTCTGAAGGTAGAACATTCCTCTGTGGCCAGATTGGGGAGAATCAGCTTATTTTATGAAACACTTTAATGATCATGAATAAATCTCGTGCTAAAGCAGAAGCTAGAATTGTATTTCTCCAGAAGCACAAAGCTATAACAGCTAGTGCTGTGATCCAAGCGTTACCTGAGCCAAAGGCTCCAGGAGAATTTCTTAATCAATACAGCACAATCTGTGTCTTATCAATGCAATCTGTTTGTTCCAGAGCAAGCAGATGGAGAAACACACAATTTTGTTAAACCAAGGGGACATTTTATGCAAAACTCGCTTTTTGCATTTAGTGCTGCCACGTGGGTCTCTACCGACTCTTCAAAACATCCAAATGTGAAAAAATTCATCCCTTTGTTTTCTGTCAGTGTTTGACTCTAGGAGTTACATGCCTAAAACAAGCCATTTCAATAAGTTCCCATTTGTGATGTCACAAATGGGGAAATGACAACAGAACCATATCTCATGTCTTAGAAAGCTGCTGTTGGAGGAGCAGCAGCTCCGAGTCCCTCCTAGATATTGAAGCTTCTTAGCCTATAGCAACCTGAGCTGAGGAGGGGTGGCTGTGTCCAGCTTCAACTTATTTTCTTAAAGAAACAAGAATCCAGAAACAGCTGTAGAGAAGGTAATTATTGTATGTATTTGGGAGCTTTTAAAGCTTAATACACTACTCGACACTTTGACCATTGTGATGTGAATTTCCATCTAAATATGGAAATCTAGTCTGATTGGTCTTTAATGAAGATTTAGAATTCTTTGTTTATTCAGGGGTTGTAGAACACTGTGTTGATTCAAGAAGAGAGTCAAGTTTATAAAAAGTAAGAATTTATTTTCCAGACAATTAAAAACATGACAAGTTAACTAAGATTTACTGTCTGTGATGGATGAATCTAGGAAGATGGAAAGTGATGTGTGGTGACTAAATGTGAGTGTGAGGTTATCAGAACTTTTGTATCTAGAAGAACTGAGTTCTGGGTGTAAAAAGGGAAGAGTTTGGTTTTGCGTTAACTAGGAAGTAGATTCTTATCAAAAATACATCAGACGCAGCCTGTGTGTCTACCTCACCCTTTCTTTGGAGAACCTCTTCGTGGATCCGAAGGTCAGGGAGGTCGGATGACCTCTGGGCACCGAGGTTTGTAGAATAACCGCAACATCGACTCTTCAGTCCAGAGATGTTTCTGGGTCACAACAGATAGAAGGAACCGTTTGCGTCTAGAAGGACTTTTAGGGAGTCGGAACCATATCAGCTTCGTTCTGCAGGAACCGTTTGCTGTGTCAGCGGTAAGCAGCTTTTAGCAGGGTTTTGACAGCTTGCCAAAAATGCTCTGGGAGGTTTCGCTCCGGACGGCCATTCCGTAGCATTCTCTAGAACTGAGTCACCGTCTCGTGAGCTCTGCTTTAATTTTCTCATATTATGAATTCTTGTCCAATCAGAACGTGCCATGTTAAGGGATATTACCAAGAATCTAAGAACATCACGCCTTCTTTCAGATATCGGATGCTCTGATTAGGGGTAAAGAAATATCTATGTGCCATGAGTTCAACTTAACTTTAATTTATCTCTCTAATGAACCTTGTCATATCAAACATTACTGATTACCATGTATAGAAACAATTCAATGTAATAATTCATTTCATTTCAGTAATTCAAGCACAGATCAATCAACCTTATTGATTTAAGCACAGACTAATGAAGACTTTATTATTATTTCACGAATGATTAACTCATATAAGCTGAAACAGCCACTCTTATAACAGTCCAGTCCAGCCTAGATAACCAGGCAGGCTTGGCACAGAAAGACCTTGAGAAGGGAACAGTTTGTTGACAATATGTTATCATGTGTTCCGAGCTGCAGAGAGGCCCGGACTCCAGCTGATGGAATGGCAGGATCTGACAAATTAAAGGCCACAAATGTAGACTCCTGTCTCCATATGGCCAGATACTGAAGGGGTCAACCGTACATGAAAAACGGACCATTTCTGGACGTTACACGGCTCATTCTGCAAAAAACTGAAAATGTCAAGAATAAAACTGCTGCAGTTGCTTTCTAACTGGGAGTTAGTGCAAAACAATTTATGAACACGATCTGAATAAACCAAGGGATTCATAACTTCGAAAGGTCATGTCATGTCCCTTTTAACATTAAATGTGTTAAAGCAAGTTTATTTGCATTATGTGGTTAATATAGGAATGCAGTTGCTTCATAAATCGTATTTCTTCATGAAATTCCTCTTAAAATTTTAACAAATTAAAAGTTGATAAATGAAACAAAACATTCTGAGCAGAGATTTATTCCATATATGACAAAGTGTTGTATGACATCATCACTGCACATTTTATTTCTACAGCCTCAAAACAAAACCGTAAAAACTTTGACCTGGCACAGAAAATGGCTCAACAAAGTGACTGAATCACAAGTTTAAATCTGCCAGAGTAGAACTTGAGTGCAAACCAAACCCACAAATATCTTTATGTATTTGGACAAAAACTTAAGCCTGCTGGGTGGGAGATTACGTCAGAACTCTACTTCTTGGTTTCCATCAAGAGTCCCAAAGTTGGAGCCACATCACAGTGGAGCAGAGGTGCCTTCAGGAAGAAAATCAACAACATCTGGACTCGGAGACATACCTATGGGGGTGGTGTTAATGGGGTGAAAGGGTAAAAGGAGGTGAATTGGGTGTTTTAAATGAGGAAACCCAGAAGACGCAAAGGGGTTCTGTGTAAGCTGGAGTGTTGTCACATCTTGAGCTTCACATGAAACACACATAAACACAAGTGACTGATTCATATGGAAAATGACCTCAGCTTGTAGAAACACCAGTCAAAACACGACTGGGTGACATGCAGGCCGTTCTTTATGGAGGTGTTCCAGATCCGTGTCACTCGTGAACAGCTACGCTCAAACACACGTGCACACTTGGCACAAAGTGGCTCTTTATATACATCAGAACTCTACACCATCAGGTCATAAACAGACAATTCTGACTTCTAGTTGTGAAGACAAACACTTAAAATCCAGTTTTAAACACAGATTCCATAATAACTCGATTTTTTTTTACATCGTTGTGATTTTATGTCTTTGACACAACAACCTCACTAGGACACTTGCTACATAATTTTGATGTTATGTTGTTTAATTTACACAGACCCTTGCTCTCCAGATGATTTCAGAGCCAGCCGACATGTTTTCACCTCATTAACTGTGATTATGATCTGCAGGACGAGGACCCACATCACTGGGAGTCGGAGAGTCATCGGCTTCTGAGTTCTCCATCTGAGGCTCCATTTGAATATCACTGACCTGTGAAGGGGGGGAAGCAGCTCGGGTTGTTCCTCCTCCTGCATCTTCGTTTCCCGAGATGCCGACAGCCTGGTCAGACGCTGGAGCAGCTGTCACACACGTGTTGCTCGTCCCACTAGGAGATTGTTTCTCTTCTGTTTGGATCGATCTAAAAACATGATCCAACGTCTGACTGGCAAATAACCGCCTCTTAACAGCTGACTGGTCCACAGGGCTCTGAGTGGATGAGATGTTGTTGTTGTTGCTTTGGTTCATGTTGGCAGATGAAACTGAATCAGTTTTAGGAGAAGAATTAATGACTAATGAGTCCTGGTTGATGTCTGGAAGAACTCTGGTTGTTGGCGTGACCTGATCCAACTTTAGAGGCTCATCGTCCGCTACGCGCCTGCTCGGCAAATTTACGCTATTATTGACTGTAGACTGCCAGTTATTGGAGCAAAGAACGGCTGGAAACCTGAAAAGAGATTTAAAATGTATAAAATTCAGTCATAACTATGAAAATAAAAATAACTGACAGTATTTTTATTATCCACGAGACACCCAGTTGAAGTCGTGAGTGGGGCTGTGCTAACCTGGACAGCTGTCGTTGAAGTTCCTGAGCGTGTTGGTTGCATTCAGCAAAATATGAAGACTGAGCATCCACAAAGTCTGCGAGGCTCCGCATGTGGTTGGTCTACACAGGGTGACAGAAGGGATGCATGAACACAAACCGGAGAGATGCGAAGAGGATTTATGTTTCCGTCTTTTTCTGTGTGTACCTACGTGAGCGTCGTCGAGTCCGCCAACAACTCGTTTTGTGACATCGGTCTGTCGATCAAAAAGACTCTGACAGATCCTCAGCTCCATCTCTGCCTGCAAATATGTGCATCATTAGTTTGCATCCACATGATCTGCCCTGTGTCAAAATAATCCACCTCTGCAGAAACAAGCTCCCGTTCCAACAACACAACAATAAGATCTGACTTCATTTTATTGTTTCATCTCACCTAAACACACAAAATCGAATCAGTCGTTTTGTAAACTACCAGTTTTTGTTGAACTACAGGTGCTGGCCAGTAAATTAGAATATCATCAAAAGGTTGAAAATATTTCAGTAATTCCATTCAAAACGTGAAACTTGTACATTATATTCATGCAATGCACACAGACCAATGTATTTCCAATGTTCATTACATTTAAATTTGATATTCATAAGTGACAACTAATGAAAACTCCAAATTTGGTATCTCAAAAAATTAGAATATTCTGAAAAGGCTGAATATAGAAGACACCTGCTGCCACTCTAATCAGCTGATTTACTCAAAACACCTGCAAAGGCCTTTAAAAGGTCCCTCAGTCTTGTTTTGAAGGCACCACAATCATGGGGAAGACTTCTGACTTAACAGCTGTCCAAAAGACAATCATTGACACCTTGCACAAGGAGGGCAAGACACAAAAGGTGATTGCTAAAGAAGCTGGCTGTTCGCAGAGCTCTGTGTCCAAGCACATTAACAGACAGGCGAAGGGACGGAAAAAATGTGGTAGAAAAAAGTGTACAAGCTCTAGGGATAACCGCACCCTGCAGAGAATTGTGACGACAAACCCATTCAAAAATGTGGGGGAGATCCACAAAGAGTGGACTGCAGCTGGAGTCAGCGCTTCAAGAACCACCACGAGGAGACTCATGAAAGACATGGGATTCAGGTGTCGCATTCCGTGTGTCAAGCCACTCTTGAACAAGAAACAGCGCAAGAAGCGTCTCGCCTGGGCCAAGGACAAAAAGGACTGGACTGATGCTGAGTGGTCCAAAGTTATGTTTTCTGATGAAAGCAAGTTCTGCATTTCCTTTGGAAATCAAGGACCCAGAGTCTGGAGGAAGAGCGGAGAAGCACAGAATCCACGTTGCATGAGGTCCAGTGTAAAGTTTCCACCGTCAGTGATGGTGTGGGGTGCCATGTCATCTGCCGGTGTTGGCCCACTCTGTTTCCTGAGGTCCAGGGTCAATGCAGCCGTCTACCAGGAAGTTTTAGAGCACTTCATGCTTCCTGCTGCTGACCAACTTTATGGGGATGCAGACTTCACCTTTCAACAGGACTTGGCACCTGCACACAGTGCCAAAACCACCAGCACCTGGTTCAAGGACCATGGTATCCCTGTCCTTGATTGGCCAGCAAACTCGCCTGACCTTAACCCCATAGAAAATCTATGGGGTATTGTGAAGCGGAGGATGCAATACGCTAGACCCAACAATGCAGAGGAGCTGAAGACGACTATCAGAGCAACCTGGGCTCTCATAACACCTGAGCAGTGCCACAGACTGATCGAGTCCATGCCACGCCGCATTACTGCAGTTATTGAGGCAAAAGGAGCCCCGACTAAGTATTGAGTGCTATACATGCACATTCTTTTCATGTTCATTCTTTTCAGTTGGCCAACATTAGAGAAACAAACATTTTTTCATTGGCCTTTAGAATATTCTAATTTTCTGAGATACCAGATTTGATGTTTTCATTGGTTGTCACCTATAAATATCAAATTTAAATGTAATGAACATTGGAAATACATTGGTCTGTGTGCATTGCATGAATATAATGTACAAGTTTCACGTTTTGAATGGAATTACTGAAATATTTTCAACCTTTTGATGATATTCTAATTTACTGGCCAGCACCTGTATTATGTTTTTGCACATTTTAAAACTGTCATCAGATTGAAAAACATCTAATCTGGTTGGACTGCCTGAATATTTGTGTACCTGAGAGATTTCCTGAGCCCACATCTGAAACAAAGAGACGGACAACTGATTTTAACACCCAACAAATCTTTCATTTGTGCCAATCAGAGCTCTCTTAAAACTCACCAACCTTAAGCCATTTAACACGCAGGAAGCTGAACATAAAGGAGACATGTGACAAGTAGTCATCCTCTACTGGGGTTGCATTTAAATGCTGAGATTAAAGAGGAAAAAACAATGTTTACAATCTTTTTTTTTTTTTTACTCCACCTATTTTTTCTTTGCTGATCAGCAAAGCTAAAGTACGTGGACTCACTCTGGCCTCCCTGTCGGCCTCGTGGGCTTTCCTCAGCCTGCGTTTAGCTACGTCCAAGTCCAAACGCTTGTTCACCAACATCTTACGCTCATTCTGTAAACAGTTTAAGGAACAAATGCTTCATAAAGGAGAGAATGATGAAAAAGAAACAGGGGTAAATTAGAGTTTCACCTGTATGAGTCTGTATTCCCCCTCAGTGAACCTCCGCAGTGGGGTGAGAAAATGGACGTTGGTGCTTTTCATAAACCTCCTCTCAGCCTCTCCGAGCTGCTTCTGGGCTTCTCCACACTGGATCAGTGCCATTCCTGCATGCAAAAAAACAAACAAACAAACATGCACACACACACACAAAACATTTTATTATCACGTCCACTAAAAGGCAAAAAAATCCAAAGATGCGACTGTGCAAATGTCAACCAAAGCTTGTCTCCTTAAAATGACAGAGCCCTGAAGCGGCTCATTATGGAAGATACTTAAACTGTCAAGAATCTAACTGCTGAAATTGCTTTATTTGAGAGGGATTTAGTGCAAAGAACTTCACGGACATGCTTCGTATCGACCACAGAACTATTACGACCCAACTCACCGTACGGGGTGCTGGATCCAATCTCCAGTCCCGCCTGGGTCATGTCATCTCCCAGTAACTCGTGTGCACGTGGCCGAGGAGCGACGCTCCATTCCAGATGCTCATACAGCCGGTCCTCTAACCGAGCTCCTGTAGGTGTGGGGCCATGAAACATTTATTTATTATTAATATCCATTAATATACAACTAAATAAGCCACTTAACCCCCACATAATTATTTCATAAAATAATGTAATGCTTAAGTGAACAAACAAGGAGAAACACTAAAAGCTGTCATATAAAATGATATCCTTTATGCTTCTGGCAGCTGAACAGTCCACTTATCTGATAGATTGCAGAGCCATAACTCCCTTAGCTGAAGAGATCTGATTAAAAAAAATAACCTGCTCTTTTCATCTGAACAAGCCAATTAGAACCAATGTAAACAGGAGATGTTTCTGTTGGAGAGCAAACAGAGTTCAAACAGGACAGCAGCCTGGAAAGTCACTCTATAGGGTTCAAATTAAAGGGGAGCTAAGAGGACCTTGGCTCCCCCGAAAGGATAATGAGCTCCCCTGGAAGTCCTTAACGGATCCACTGCAAGGGAGAGCCCGAAATCAACAAATATGTAGTCCTTTGTAAACGAGTAAAAAAAAAAAAAAAAAACTTCCAGAATAATTTCCTAAATGACTTAAAATTACTTCTGACTTGTGTTGCTAAACTACATTTACAAGGCACAACAGTTTTAACACATTTCACACAATCTGATCTTTTTTATTAGGATTTTATTCCAAAATTAAGGGACTTTTTTTCAATAGCTCCTAAGTAAATCAGTCTAAATACATAAAACCATTTCTCAGTTGTGTTACTAAGGCAGACCAATGAGACACAGCAGTTTTTAACATGCTTCACAAGATCTGAACATTTTTATTTGGATTTTTATTAATAATAAAGTGATTTCTTTCAATAGCTCCTAGGTTAATTGATATTACTACTCAAAACTATTTCTCAATTATGTTACTAAGCTACACCAATGAGACACAGCCGTTTTTATCACATTTCACAAGATCCAACATTTTTTATTAAGGTTTTTATCAAAAAATTAAGTGATTTCTTTCAATAGGTCCTATGTTAATTGCTCTACACACCCAAAGATATTTCTCAATGGTGTTACTAAACTAGACCAATGAGACACAGCCATTTTTATCACATTTCACACCATCTGATCTTTTTTTATTAGGATTTTCATGAAAAATTCTGTAATTTCTTTCTATACCTCTCGGGTTAATTGATTTTAATACCCAAAACCATTTTTCAATGATGCTACTACGCCAGACCAATGAGACACAGCAGTTTTTATAACATTTCACAAGATCCAACCTTTCTTATTAGGATTTTTATCAAAAATTAAGTAATTTTTGTCAATAGCTCCTAGGTAAATCAGTCAAAAACTAAACCATTTCTCAGTGTTGTCACTAATGGAAACCACTGAGACATAGCAGTTTTTATCACATTTCACAAGATCTGATCATTTTTATTAGGATTTTTAATCAAAAATTAAGTTATTTCTTTCTACAGCTCCTAGGTTAATTGATTTTAATACTCAAAACCATTTCTCAATTATGTCACTAATGGAGACTAATGAGACACAGCAGTTTTCATAACATTTCACAAGATCCAACCCTTTTTTTTTTAGGAATTTTGTCAAAGGATGGAAAGCTAATGCTGATCCCCTTCACCTTATGCAATATGATGAAAGCTGTAAATGTCTTCGTCGGCATCTTGGGTGAGGTTATGCACTCTGGGCAGGGACATCTTAAACATCCATCTTCAGGCAAATTGTTGTCTCTCTCTCCCAACAGTTGAGTCAAAAGACAAGTTGGGCCCTCGCTTCTGGAGGACATAAATACACAATCGCCATTTCAGCTAGAAAGAAAGACAAGCAAATACCATGGACCTCGCCCTTGAACACTAAAAAGACCACCAGAGGCCGGATGCTGCTCAAGAACTGCAAGGACCCCAAATTCACCTCGCCCAGTGTGCTGACCAGAGCCTTGGTGGCTGTGATGTTTGTCTTTGTGAAATACTAAAATATAAATCCCATCATGGCACATGACTAGATTAGAGATCATTTGGCCTTGTCACTTACTGATGAAAATGTTCACCTGAAACATGAGGCCAATTGAAATTAAATGGAGTGCGTACCAATGCGATTGACTATAACCTGATATCAAGCCAGGTGGTGACGAAGGACGTTCTGATTGAGAAAGGTTACCATCGACGAGATCCCCACTCCAAGACAGGAGGAAGAAGAGCATACCACCTATGAATTTGTGGGAGGAGAGATCTGGTTGAGGTCAAAGATTAGTTGCAATGGCCTGAAGCTGTGTTGCTGAGCATTGAGAAATGGTTTTGAGTATTTACAGCAATTAGCTTAAGAGCTATTGAAATAAATCACTTTTTTAAAAATAAAAATTCTAATAAAAAGGATCAGAGCTTGTGAAAAGTGAAAATAACTGCTGTGTTTCATTGGTCTGGCTTAGTAACACCATTGAGAAGTGGTTTTGAGTAGTAAAATCAATTAACCTAAGAGGTATTGAAAGAAATCACAGATTTTTTCATGAAAATCTTAATAAAAAAGATCAGATTGCATGAAAGGTGTTAAAAACTGCTGTGTCTCATGGGTCTGTCTTAGTAACAACATTGAGAAATGGTTTTGTGTATTTAGACTGATTTACCTAGGAGCTATTGAAAAGAATCCTTTCTCCAGCCTTCAGAGAGTACAGACGCTTTTTTCTCAGCTCCCTTATCGGCTTCCCCAAGGCTCTTGTCCTGTCTGCCTACAGAGCACTTCTCTGCATTTCTCCTGAAACCACTACTCTTTTTTTGGAAATATGGACTTAATTAATTGGTCATTCAACGTGATTGACAAAATTTTCTCTACGATGAGAACGGAGAAGGGGGCTCCCACCTGTCCCGAGGGGACATTCGCATCGGGATATGCACTCGATTCTTGGGAGGTCTGGCGAATCGTGTGCCTCTCTCAGCTGTCCATCGAGGACGTGGAAGATTTGTGGATATTCGGCCTGATGATCACTGGATTTCTTCTGATTGGAGTGGGAGGATATCTGGTTTTCTGGAAATTTGGGAAGACGGGAGCGATTGGAGTGCGACCCGTACCCACGGAATGTGCCGCTCGTGCGGTGACCTCACAGACTGGGACGTTACTCGAGGTGAACCGTAAGCTGGACAATGTCCTTGCGGCGTTGCCTGTGTTAGTGCGCAAGATGGATTTGATCTCGGAGAGGGTCGCCGGACGATGCGGGGATGTGGAATGTAAAATTGGCTTCACTGGTGGACATGAATGACCACTTAGAGACTACAAGACGGAGGGGAAGATTATCTCTGTCTACCCTAAGCAAAGTTATGTTTATCCTTATCCGACGCCATAGCAGCCTCTCAAGGCTGCCTCAACACACCCCCACAAAAGGAGGAATGCCGACAGATGCTGTGTCCCGACCTTCACCCTCTCCCTTCAGGCTATATCTGCAGGGACCTCAATGTGCTCTCTGTTCCTTATCTCTCCCTCCCACCTGTTGTTCTGCAGCTGGTCGATGTGCCGCAGTGGCAGCTCCCATTGGAGGCTTCAGGATCCCGCCCACCCCCACCTCCCCATTGGACTCTGATGTTGTACACGTGCTGTCTGTGCTTCCATGTCGGGTGTTTTTTTGCATTGGAGTGCTACACCCTGCTGGTGTAACCCTGTTAATGCCTTTTTTTTCCCCTCCCTGAACTTTCCTCATGTAACACCCTTTTCATCTAACTATTAAGGTAGCGCGACTCATGTTGCGAATGACCGCAGTCACCAATTCTTGTTATGTGTCTTACCCACGTATGTCTGATCTTTGAATTGTGTGTGCTGAAACTGAATTTCATTTCTCTGTATGTCCTGCACATGTGGAGAATATGACAATAAATGACTCTTGACTCTTGACTCTTGAATTTTGGAATAAAATCCTAATAAAGATCAGATTGTGTGAAATGTGTTAAAACTGTTGTGTCTTGTAAATGTAGTTTAGTAACACAAGTCAGAAGTCATTTTGAGTCATTTAGCAAGTTATTCAGGAAGCTTTTAATTTTTTTTTTACTCTTAAGCACATTGTGCCCAGGGGCCCCTGCAATGATAATCCAGCCCTGACCATATACCTGCTGAAAGGACCTCTCATGTCAGGTACAAAAACAAAAACATATATTTTTATAACTCGTCAGTTCTCGTCTTCTTCTCTTTTTGTGTTGGGGTTAGGGTTCAGTCATGGCTTTGATCAGTCGCCGCTACCGCGCTGTCCCCGGGCCGCCTCTGTCTTTTTTCTGCAGGCGCTTCCAGACGGAGCACTTCAGGTAACTCCGGGTGGGAGAAGCAGGACTCAGGAGGAGAACTCTAGAAACAGACGCCACTAAATGTGCAAAACGGGCATTTTTTACTAAAACGTGTCATTTCCGGAGTCAGCAGCAAGACCCAGCAGCATCAGCAGGTAGGATCACTCACTCACTGAGGGAATATTATGAGAATGAATAATGGAAAGTATGACGAGCAGTCCGGATGCTGGCTCTGTCCGGTTTGGTCCGGACCTCGCGGTAAAGCCAGGGGTGCAGACTCTCCCACCAGATCCACGGTGCAATTCAACCTGACATCAGTTATCTTTATTTTCGTTTACATGAATGATCATGAAGATTCATCTGGACAAATGTGAAAGAAAAAGATCCATAGAGAAGGAAAATGTAGGAGAAAATGAGGACGAACTTCTTTAGTAAATGTTCACTGATGAGTTTTCGTGTTTGTGAAATTACAAGTGGTCACTCACAAGTTGTGTTTTCATGAAACAGTGTTCCCATCTGAAAATAAGTCAGGGTTTTATTTTAACTTTATTTCTCAGTGTTGCAGCTGGATGCTCTTCTGCGCACCTCTAACAGGCTGCCAGACATTTGAGATTATTTTCTAGTTATTGAATTAAAAATTATTTGTATGATGAATATTTTTTCTAAAGCAAAGTTTTAATAAGTTATTAAATCTGACACATCAACAGGTGGTCATATAATAATCAGACTGCAGTCAGTCATTATTACCTAAAGCTCTTGTTTTATTTATAAAAAATCCCAATTCTTATTAGTATTTTCTTTACTTTTGGAGTCAAATATTAATTTCATTTCTCAAAAATAAACATTTAGAGGTAAAAACAGTTCTTATCTATAAAATGGTTAAAGATTACACCACATGGGCTGCACAGTGGTTAGAGCTGTTGCCTTACAGCGAGAAGGTCCTGGGTTTGCTTCCCAGCCTGGGATTTTTCTGCATGGAGTTTGCATGTTCTCCCTGTGCATGCGTGCATTCTCTCCGGGTACTCCGACTTCCTCCCACAGTCCAAAAACATGACTGTTAGGTTAACTGGCCTGTCTGAATTGTGTGTGTGTGTGTGTGTGTGTGTGTGTGTGTGTGTGTGTGTGTGTGTGTGTGTGTGTGTGTGTGTGTGTGTGTGTGTGTGTGTGTGTGTGTGTGTGTGTGTGTGTGTGTGTGTGTGTGTGTGTGTGTGTGTGTGTGTGTGTCACTGTGTTGCGATGGACTGGCTCTGTCCAGGGTGTACACCGCCTGACTGCCCATTGACCGCTGGAGATAGGCACCAGGCACCAGGCACCAGCCCCCCCCCCCCCCATTAAGTAGGTGAACTGTAAATAAAACATTCTTACCTCTTAATTGTTTAGATTTTGCAAGTAAACTGCAAAATAAAACAACAAATATTAATAAAATAAATGCAATGTCATTTACTGTCCACATGATGGCGCCAAACCACCATAAACTGAACCACGACCTTGACTAGTGTATTTCAAAACAAATCTTTATCTATTTAACAATAAACATTTAGTTATTGTTTCGGTGTTTCTGGTCCTGTTTTAACGGGCTTTCGGTTTTTGGTTAAGAAACACGCGTCTCAGTTTCACTTGTCATCTACCTTCTTGGAAAATTAATGGGTTCTTAACCAAAAACCGGAAGCCCGTTAAACATCAAGACCTTTGTTGCGGGTTGTTTAGGTTAATAAAATGTGCATTTGCTTATTCAACATAAGCCTGACAAAGCAGGTATGAAAATGTCAGTTATTGTTATTTTAATTATTCAGATTTTTCCCGCCGGATCATGACAGTTGTTAACAAGTCCCTTTGTCAGACATTTGTTTACTGAACTGTTACATGTAGAGTTTACTACTGATAACCTCAAACAGGATCGGAGTGGCTAATCGGGGTCTGGACTCTTGCATTTATTTAGTCTGGCTTGCCAAGCTAATTCCTGATCTGATGGTTTTGTTTTTGCAGCAAAGGATAGAGATGCTGTAACTGCTTGCCACGGATGTACAATTAAAATCAACATCTTGGTGTTTGAATAGATTAAATTGAAAAAATAAACAATAACATGTGCGTCCATGCTGCGTTTAGGTCATTTGACATCTGTAAAAGAGGGCTTTACTTATCAAACATTGTTGATAGCACATTAATCACATTATTATACTCATCAAAACAGGTTTAAATATGTATTCTAAACATTATGGACGTTTTTCACGAGAACGCCTTCATAGTTATGAATAGAGGGATTAACACGAGTCTCACCCAGACTAGGCTGCAGTGAAACCTCCACCTGTGAAATGATCTTGTCCGTCCAGGTCTTAGTGGTGTCCACCCGGGCCAGGAGCTCCTCCAGCCCCGGGTCCAACTCAGTGCTGTCCGCCTGACCGAGACTTCCTCCGGTGTACTAAAGAGAAATTACAACGTGACGTCAGCTTAACCTGACCGTAAACAACTCTGATTCGCTCGTTGTCTTTTACCTGAACAGCCCGGTTAATGAACTGACCAGCATCCACAGCCAGCCGCGTAAAATCCATAACAGTCTCCCACGAGACGGACACGCGGGACGGAGCTAACCGAGTGTCCGAAAACAGCTAGCGGACCTCGGCATGTTAAACCCTTCACCCGAACAGCCCGACTCGGTTAGCACCAGCACGCACCTGATCGTGATGTCATCCTAACATCCTGTAAGAAATTTCCACTGGACTGACTTTTTTATGCTATCAAATGTGCAAAAACCGTGATATGGACGTTAAAAGGTGTGTTAAAATGTTAAAAGTAACGATATATATATTTTTAAATCCCCAAATCCTCCGACTTCCGGTTCATGATTTTCAAAATAAACCCGTGGCGATCTATGGGAATAAGCACAACTTCACTCGTTTCACAATGTTATTTCAATTAAAAATAGAACAAGAAAAGCACACAATAAATGGGGGTTGTGAAACAATCAGTGTTAGTCCTTCATGCTCTTGTTGCATTAAAACAAGGATTAAAAGCCATTAAAACATGGAAAAGCAGCCCATGCATTAATAAAAACACTAAGCAGTAATATAAAAAATGTTTATGTCTGAACCTACAACTACTATACTGCTAGCTTAAACATATACACTGAATATAACCTACTTTAAACAGCAACCTTTCACTGAGTCCTCTTAGCTTCTTAAACATTGTGAAAGAAGCAGGATGTCAGCAGGAAAAGAGCAACAAGACAAGGGATTAAAAACAATCAGCTGACAGTCTGAACTAATTGTGTCTCAACGGAGGGTTCAAAGATTAAAAAAGCTTTTAAAAGGCACATTTACAAATGGACATTTTGTTTATTAGAGAAGAACAAATATGTAAATTTAACATTTCCAGAGAACGGAAAACTTCAAAACAGCAACAGAAACTTCAGGACAAATACTGAACCATCCGTTTTTCATTCAACAGTCCAAAGTGCTGTAACGGCAGGGTCAAGAACTAACTTCATTAGCTGAGGTATTCTTATAGGTACGGGCCCCAGCCCAGGTACATCTGACAGAGCAGTTTCTCATCTGTGGCTTCGTGGATTAAGTAGTGCACGTGTCCCTCTATAGACAGAGGCAGACCAAGCACTTTATTCCTGCTCTTGATCACCCCCTGAAGACGCTGCTCGATGTCACACACATGTGTTTTAGCCTGGAAGAAATGGATACAACAGTAAATTACAGGATTAAATAACATATATATGTGTATCATAGGGAAATATTACTGATATGTTGCTCCCACCCAACAAAAATGAAACACCACACCTTTTCATTGACTATCTCTCCTGTCTCACTGGCAGGAGTTTTCGATAGTCCTTTGGCTGGTTTGCTCCACTCAACCAGAGGGTCATGAAGGAAGGTTTTAAGCACACTGAAATGGAGAGAAAAAACTTAACTAACAATTTTGCGACAGAAAAAATGCAGCAATGACTAGTAATAAGTACAAAGTAAACTAGTAAAAGTTTATAAAATTATATTTTTTGTGTGTTTACCTCATGAGCGACTCCCTCTGGTCTCTCATTAGTCTTATTGTGACCTCGCAGGCCTGTCGAAACAGGCCCTCGGTGCCCATGGGCCCCATAGCATGAACCATGTTTTGGGTCAGGCGGAAAGGCACCACCTCAGGCACGTCGAATGTCTCCCCCTAGAGGACAGAAAGAGAATTGCACCAGAGATGTTCAGACAAAAGAGAAAGATGCAAAAGTAGTGGCTAAAACTAAATACAACATTGGTTCTTTATTATCTCATTTATTGTTTTTATATTAATTTTTTTTTTAATTAATAGATATTTTAGTTTGGGACAAAGACGAACCTTGTTGAAGAGGCAGTTAAAGTCAACGTGAACACATTCACCAGTGAACGAGTCAAAAAGGATGTTTTCACCATGGCGATCTCCCAGACCCAGGATGTAGCCCACCATGGACATCACAGCAGTGGAGCGGCAGTATGCAGAGCGACTGCTGTACCTGTACACACACACACACATGCATGCATACCAGAGACAAAAACAGTAACTGTGTGAGTCAAACAGCACATGGTCAGACACTAAAATGACATCCTCCTTTATATGTATATGCTGGAAGGATCTAGAGTACCAGGACGTTGGATCAGGGAAGGTACGGAGGAACCACTCATAGAAGACAGGAGGATGTCGAGAGCACAGCACCTCCTTGTGGATTCGCAGTTTCTCCTCAAAAGGAGCCGTCTTTGGCAGGATAAGCTTCCTCAGCTCTTTACCCGACAGGTAGATGCCTTAAAAAAGCCACAGACACAATTTGTCAAAAGTTTTCATTCATACTGATCTCCTCTTGAACTTCCCAGCCTCGTATGAGAGTACCTCTCTCTTTGTACAGCTTTGTGAGGATGTGTCGCAGCCCAGCCGTGTTGTTGACCCATTCAATGATGCCACACTCCTCGTTGAGGGGTATCACAGCGTAGGTGCGGATATGCAATTCTCTTCGCCTCGATTCGGCATCTTTACGGAGGCACTGCAGACAAAAGCATCACAAAGACGTATCAGTTAGGTGGCTTTTTCTGTAAGACACAATCTATTTCAATCATGATCCATCGGTCCTGCATCAAAACTGTTATTTGTGTATTTATGTAGCAGATGACTCCACTGTCATCGGACTCATCTCTGACTTGGATGAGTCTGCCTACAGAATGGAGGTCGAACATCTGGTCTCCTGGTGCAGCCACAGCAACCTGGTGCTAAACGCACAGAAGACAGCGGAGGTTGTTGACGGTTGTTGTGGAAGCACACAGCCCCCCTCCTCCATAGCCCTGTCTGACACTCCTATCATGATGGTGGACTCCTGTCGCTTCCTGGGCACCACCAACACCCAGGAGGACCTCAAGTGGGAGCCCACCATCACCTCCGTCATGGAGTCACCATCATCCTCACCTCCTCTATCACTGTGTGGTATGCTGGAGCTACCTCCAGGGACAAGAAGAAGCTGCAGTGTGTTGTGCGCTCTGCTGAGAAGGTCATTGGCTGTAAACTCCCCTCCATACAGGACCAGTACATGCAGGTCAGGTCACCGCTCACCCTGGACACAGTCTTTTGACTCTCTCCCATCGGGCAGGAGGTTCCGTTCCATTCAGACCAGAACCTCTCGCCACAAGAACAGTTACTTCCAATCAGCAGGGACTCATGAATGACAATCCTAGGGCTGCCCACTCTGGTTGCCTGGCTTCAGTCACACGACCCTAGTGTGTTTGCACCTGAGCTGAACCACTCTGATCAGTACCTGTCTTGTATACAGCAGCCGTTTCTCTAATTATTGCCATTTTATATTATTATTTTATCATGATTATATTCCTACTTCCTATATTTACTTTTCTCTTATTTTTATCTTTCTTTTTTGCACTAAGTACTGCAGAATAGAGGTGCTGAAAAAAATCTATTCAAGTCTGAATCGGGATTCTTATTTATTAAGATTCAGAATCGATTCCAAGAACTCAAATATTTGTTATGTTACAGGTTTGAGATGCACTTTTTTGATCTTTGTTAGGAGAGTCGGTACTCCGTTTACTTTTGCGGTCCCATAAATTGAGATGATTTATGTTTGAATCTGCTGATAAGAAGGCACTTGAATGTAATTTTTTCCATACTCAGAAATTTGAGATATTCTCATATTTATTTTCTAAATTGATAAATGAGTACTCAGGATTACTCATGTAACTTGTTTCTACACATATTTGAAAAGTATTTGACTGTATTACTTTCAAAGCTACTGTTAGGCAACTACAGATTTGTTATATTTTACAAGGTAAGCAAAAATAAATGTTGCCTTTTGGTCAAAAGATTGCTTCTGTTTACAGTTTTAGAATCACTTTATTTTACATTGTAAATTTGCATTTTTGGAGCATGACCAGTTTAAAGTCAAATAAAAATGTCCCACAGCTTTAACTAACTTGTACAACAAAGTAGTTCATCCTGGAGCTGACACTCTTTGTTAATACTGATTGTGAATCGATTTAAATTGAGAATCGATTCTGAATCGAATCGGCACCCCAAGAATCGGAATCGAATCAAATCGTGAGTTGCTCTAAGATTCACATCCCTACTGCAGAAACTTCCTAATGTTGTGATTTCTCACACATATGGCAATAAACCTTCTGATTCTGATTAAAATGTTGTAAATTAAGATGAATCTGCGTCTTACACACCTTGTTGATGAGACAGTTAAACTCCATGAGTCTACAGTCTTTCCTCAGATCATCTTTAGGTTTACACATCATTGTGTAGCTCTGGCCATCTGAGCCTTTCAGACTTATCTTCTTAGGCTTCTGCAACGATGCCAATATCTCCACCTACACACACACACACACACACACACACACACACACACACACACACACACACACACACACACACACACACACACACACACACACACACACCCTAATGTCAAAATGTTTTCTTGGAAAGGCACTCATCTATAGACACTCTTCCTGGATGTTTCTCTCACAGCATCTTCAAAGCCATCCAGGTAGGCCCAGTGTCCTGGGAAGGCGTCGTGCTGCGTGTTTGCCCCACCAGTAGACGGCAGCGTGGGGATGAGGACGGACTGCAGCGGGATCAGGATCTGGCTGAACGTTTGCTCCTCCACCAGACGTTTTAGCTGCTTGAAGTGGACGTTCATACTGAGCATGGTGCTGTTGCTGTCCACCTAAAAGACATTCAGCATCATCAGCAGAGAGCTGCCAACATGATGCATATTTTTAAAAATATGTTTCTTCATCTCAATGGATCGATATTATTTTTATAAAGTTCTATCGACTTTTTTTAAATCAACATGTAAAAATTGAATATAAATCAAATGTTTGAATAATAACTGAAGATGGATCTATACATCATTGTGTCAAAAGTTAGTTTGAGTCATTTTGTGTGTGTGTGTGCGTGTGTGTGTGTGTGTGTGTGTGTGTGTGTGTGTGTGTGTGTGTGTGTGTGTGTGTGTGTACCGGTTTGTTACACAGCTCCAGCAGCTTGTCAGTCAGTCTGTTGGCGTCTCCGATGAATTTCTCCAGAGACTGTTTAAGACTGATGGCTTTCTTAAGGATCTGATTGCAGCGGTTCTTACGCATGGGGTAGGATGACTGAAAAACAAACATGTGAGGCTTTCAATGAAGACCAGGTTCACTCAAGTTTAAATACATTTTCAGTGGTCTCTAGTATACATAAATGCCTTTTAAGTCAACCTTTGTGGAAAAAGGCTCTGGTGCACCCGTTTCAGGAAACAGAAGCTAGCCAGAGGAGAGCGAAACAGGACAGGATTTGGAGTCTTATTTCCTGATTTTCAGACATATCCCATCTGATTGGCCAACAACAACGCAACTCTACCACGGAATCTGTTTGCTTTGCAATGTTGTTTTATCTTCACAAATAACACATGCCTGAAGGAGTTCTGCCATATCGTGGAGTTGCTGACGGTTAGCTTCTGCAGAAGTCCATAAATGCTAATTTACAGCGTGACGTGGATCGGACTGGCTCTTCTAATCTGAGTATTTCCCCGTTTACTTTCTATTTCAGGAAATAGGGGTAGAAGACCATTTTCAAGTCCAGCCTGCATGTCAAACGCAGAGTGACCGATCATATTTCAACAATAACAAGTAAAAACTGTTTTCCCATTTAACTTTAAAGGATATAAAAACAAATGTAATTCTGAAGACATAATAGCTGTTTAAACATTCACACATGTATTTATCAGGGGGCCAATGTTTGTAAAAGGCATAAATAGGAATTAACAGGTTTCCACAAACAGACATCCTAAAAACAACATCATCTTACCTTGCAGACAGCCGTCATCAGCCACATAGCTTGCTGGGGGTAAGCTAGGAACACCTTGGCCACAATGGTCATGAGAACAGTGAAGACCTCGTCGCTAGAATGACACACCCTGGAGATGAGCTGGGAGAAGGCGGTGAGGAACTGGTACGGCGCCAGGTTAGAGCAGTGCTCGCTGACCACGCTGTTGATTTTACTCAGCTCTTGTCGCATCTGTCTGTCCGCACGGCCCGCTGTGGAGGACATTTACAGAAACAATCTCATTTGATAACAGTCAGCAGCTTAAAATGGAAACATCCCTGCCCTCTTGGTTCCTCACCTTTCTCACATTCACACACTTTAGCTCCAAAGTCCAACCAGAGGGAGAGCATGCGAGGCATGGCCTGATAGATGTACTGGTTCCCAAACTGCAGGGCCCTGACAGAGAGGGTGTTTAATTTAAAGCACCTTTATTAAAACCTTATTTGGGTTTGATATAAGCAGGATTAAACCGGAACCTACTTTCCGAAGAAGGTGACAATGTATCGAATCAGATTTCCCTGTTTCTCCATCTTGTTATCAGTCACCATCGGCATCACCTTGTCGTAGTACTTAGCCAGGTAGAAGTTCCCATCCTCCCACTCTGGCAGCAGGTTGGTCACATCCTAAAACAAAAACATGAAAATAATGAGCATATGTTCAGAAGATGATGAGGAAACGGGTTGCCGGTAAATTAAACACCTTGTACGCCTTCATGATGGCATTGGACTCAAAGTTGGCCGTCTCCTCCATGAAGCGACCGACCAGCAGCATGGCCTTGCCTTTAATCTGCAGACTGTGAGGGTCCGTTAGGGTCTGATCATCAGGAAAACACTGGGCCACGCCCTTCTGCAGGACGATCAGGGCCTGGTGTGCATCGCTCTGATCACAGACCAACACAGAAAAGCTCAAACCTGTTGCACTGTGTAAAAAGAAGCAGACACTCTCTGCATTTCCAAGCAAGATGATATAATAAACTAAGTAAATGTGGAGTATTGCTGCACCTTAGACCAAAGCCACTTGGCCTTCTCTGTGACCAGCTCAGCCAGGTTTGTGTTGTCTGCGTTAAGAAGAGCATTGAAGGCCGTCTGGTGGTGCCCTGCTTTTCTGGCCACTCGGGCACTTTGCAGCCAGCACTCTCCCACCAGCTCCTCGCACACAGGCCTGCAGAGATGGTGCAAGAGGATCACTGTTCATCATTTTATTACAGATATTATCCCACATGCACCCATAATAAATGTGACTAAGTAACCATTTTTCACCCAATTTAACAGTTTATTATTTTACTGAGATTATTTTGCAGCACAGCCACTTCCTTAATCCCTTTAGACATATTCATTAATATTTCTGACAGACCAACAATTCTAAAGTGTTGTTAAGTTGGAGTACTTGGTTAATTTTCAGTAAAGATCAGATTAGAAAAAATATTCTGCAGCTCAGTTTATCAATTTATTATTATGCCAATTAAATTCTCATCTTTTCCTTCTACACTGTAAAAAAGTGCATCCTGAATCTTTCAGTTTAAACTCTAATATTGTGACAATAATGTTTCCTTCCCATTCCCTGCAAATGCTCCTCCACATTTTTACACACCATATTTAACTTTTTATTTTTTATATGTATAAAAATTCAATATTCAGAATTTTTTTTTAAATATTTTAGTATTTTGAATATTTAACGTTTTTATGCAATACGTTTTGTTGTTGTTTGCCCTTGAATCTTTTTTAATTATTCATTTATTAATTTATCTTATTGATTGCTGTTTTGACACCAACAACTCACCACTGACAGACAATAAAGGGATTTTCTATTCTATTCTAATCCATTCTAGGTCCTTACTGTGGTTGGAGGCTGAGCAGGGCTCGACGCAGTGCCAGGATTGGCTCCTTGGCCCTGAAGGAGTTCTGGGTCATCTCCAGTCGGTCGGACCAATGAGGAGGCAGCTTGCTGAGATGCGGCACTGAGCCCTTCTTGCGCTGTTGCAGCTCAGTGAAAGTGTGCTCCAACTCACTGAGCATGTGGAGCCTGAACAGAATCACAAGTCACTACTACTGATGGTAAAATACAAAAACACTAATTGGTGATACTAAAAGCTCGCCCACGAACCGGACAATGTACTCATATCCTCTCTGGTAGGTTCCACACTCATAGCTGGCAGCAGACAGGGGAACCACCTGCTCCTTCCTCACCAGCTTCAGCTTCTCATAGAAACTCTCAGCGTCCTGCTTCTTAGCTGACAGCAGCAACTGGCCGAGCCTCACTCCCCAGGTACTCGACTGCTGGTCTGCAGGTTGGTCAACAAAAACAAATGAATCAAAACGTAACAACTTTTGAAGATTGCATCTCTTTGTTTTTATAACCTGAGCTCAAATAATCCTCCAGCAGGTCCCATTTCCCCAGCTTCCAGGCTGCTTCCACTCTGTAAGTGTTCAGCTCTGATTTCCACTGTTGCCTAAACATAAAGTAACTTAAATTAGATATTAAAAAAAAGAACATTTGAGAGGATAATGAGCTTTAAAAAACTTCGTACTTATTAGCCAGGACCCCGTTAACCTGTGTGATGACTGTAGAAAGCTGTCCAAGGCCCAGCATGGAAGTCATCACTCCATGATAGTGACCAATCTGAAATTGTTAATCATTTAAAATATATATATTTTTAATAAAGCATAAACTGAACTTTTTCACAGTTAAGTGTGAGGACCTGGTCTGACTCTAACTGAATGGCCCGGTCGTAGCATGCAGTTGCGTCTCGGAGCAGACCGATGCTCTCGTGCTCAAGTATCTGTTCCCGTAGCGACGGCTCCTCCCTCCTCAGGGCGTTGACTCCTCTCACTCCATCCGGCTCATGCATCGCAGCATACAGCGTCTGCAACAGACAGGTGCCAATCAAAACGTGGCCTCTGTGACCTTTATTAGATGAATCTCGAGTCGACTCACCTGCAGGAAGGTCAGGTGGTCTTGGATGCTCTCTTTGTTCTCCGTTATGTGAGCTTCAAAGTGCATGAGGGCACGAGTGTATGCTTTGGATCTTAAGGAGGCCTTGGCCAGGACATCTTGTGGGATGGCCTTCAGGAAGGCCCCCACACGCTGATAATCCCCACTTTCTGCAATTACACAGCTCCATTTTCCCCTCAACTCAAATGATGGAGGTTAAGAGGCAAACGCCAGTGCATTTACACAGAAACACGTCACTTACCGCTGACTTTGGATTTGGAGTACAGGATGTGGCGGCTCCACTGTGTCAGATGTGACAGCATGCTGAAGACAGTCTGAGTGCTGAGCTGCGACAGGCTGGAGGCCGTCTCCTGGGTGCAGCCCCTCCCTCGCCCATCGCCCTCCGTCAGAACGGCCAGCATCTCCTCTGTCACCTTCACGCCAGAACAGAGAAACAGGAAGAACAAACTCAGACCAGCTGTTTCACGTGGGAAAGAAACAAGAGCTGCACCCTGACCTCCTGCTGCTCCACAGGTGTGCATCCCAGCAGCATGTAGAGCAGGATGTGAGGCAGCAGGTAGATGGTGACCTTGTAGTCGTGTTTGATAATGAAGCTGCAGCACCTGAACACCTTGCTGGCCAGTTCGTGTCGCACCTAAAGCACACAGAATCAGCATGAACCCTTCAGAGGAACAAAACGCTATTGCTGTCAAAGCAGTGAGTAATTCTAAGCTAACCTTGCTAATGAGGTATCCGGCCCAGGTGGCTGACCAGTCAGGAAACTTGCTGCCTCTGCTGCTGAGGTAAACTGGTTTCTTCAGTTTGGACCAGTTCACCTCCTTCTGGCTGCTCTTATATCTGCAGGGAACAAACAAGAAGGAATAATGGATGGGATTATATTGGATTACACGCACAGAAGAGTTTAAAAAAAGGAGAATGTCTACCTGCTGTTGAGGTGAGGCTCCAGGATTTCCTGAATCTGCTCTGGGAATCTCCTCCACAGACGGCGGCCTGCTGAGTCAGTTCTTCCTTCACGACACTCAAGTATAGACAGCAGTTCCTACGACACACACGCGCGTCCACAAATCATAAAAACCACCAGAACGCATGAAAAGCTGCTGGATTTGTGTGAGTTTCAGTGGCGCACCTGAATCGCGTACGCAGCAGAGTCCTGGGCTCGGACATTGTCAGCATAAGCCAGAAAAGTTCTGGTGAGCTCAGTCAGCAAATCATAAGCAAAGTTCGGATCATCCACCCCACTCTGTCACGGAGAGGATTTTACAAATAAATGACACGGTTTAATCCTCCATCCAGATTAAGAACGCTTATTAGATCACATCAAAGGTCCTCTGAAAGAAGCAAAACCGTAAAGATCCTGCAGGGTTTGCACAACATCCACAAGAACACCATGCACCTTTCTTGTTTTGGGGAATTTTTGTCTTGATTTGTTTATAATTTATTCATATTTTATGGTCACCAACTTCACCTTCACTCACATTTCTGATTCATGAAAATGTTTGGAGACATTTTGGAAACCATCATAATTTATTGTCAACAGCTGCAGCCCAAAGAAAAGCAAATGAAAAGGCAGCAAAATCCTCTTTAACCACTCTAGCCCAACTAACCACAAAGGTGTTGCGGTCGCCGCGCGTGAGTGTGTGAGACAGATCCAGACGTCCAGGATCCACAGCTCCCAACTCGCCCAGACACTCCCCACAGAGGAGCCTGGCCTCTGGGGACGAGTCCTGGCAGCCCTTCAGCAGCACAGACACCAGGCTGGAGATGACCGGCTCCACCGACTCGCTGGCACAAACCTGCCGCAGGAGCCACGCCTGCAACACACCGAGCATCACTTATGTGATTTAATGAATCCCTTCAGGATGTCATTCTGAAACCCGATGCCCAAACCTGTGTTTACATCACTGAACATGTGTGTTTGTACCTGGTTGCTGTGCATCATGTCCCTGAGGCTGGTCAGCGCGTGGATCCTTACGTCTACGTTCTCGTGCTGCACGGCTCTCATTGACAGCTGCAGCACTGCAGCCAGGTCGCTGCTGCTGGCTGTCAGCTGGGCAGAAAAGAGAAAAAATAAATAAATAAGATCTACGTCTCAGTCATCTACCCCTCCATCCTAATCATGATGTCTACACACACCTTCTTGTAATCTCGCAGAACCGAGTGAATATCGCTCAGCTCTGGGAGGTCAGGTAGAAAGTAAATCTCATGGAGGTAGTCGTTCACTTCTTCCCTGTGACAGATGCATAGATGTAAGACATTAAGGTTAACTGCATAAGAAAGTGTATGACTAAGGTAAAAACAAGAGTTTTTACTTTGATTCACAGTTTTAGAGTTTTGCAGGTATATGTAAATGTAAGCGAGTCATTCTGAGCAACACCTGTTCTCCAGGATGAGGAAACGAATGATAGCAGCAGTTTCTTTGGGCTGGAGTGCAATCAGAGGGAGAAGTGCAACGATAACATGACTCAGCAGAGGGCCGAGGTGAGAAGGCTCCACGCTCCTCACAAAACACTCCCACGCTCTAAAACAAAGTATAGAACTATCAGTTGCATTTAAATTATTTTAGCCAACTTCACGTAAATCAGTGAGGGTGTGACTTTGAGAAGGTGTGTGTGTGTGTGTGCGTTGGGACTGACTTGCAGCAGAGCAGGGGGAAGTCTTCCCTGTAACGAAGGCCGGTGCGAAGCGTCGTCATCATCTTCACTCGAATGGAGCTAATGTGTTTGGAGCCCATCAGACGCATCAGAGCCATCACACTTGTCAAAGCCTAAACGCAGAACAAACAGGCTTTTATTTTGAAATTTACAAGCATTGTTATAACACACTAACAGCCACTTAAGATGGTTATTATTACAGTAATGTCCACTTTGGATGACTCACCATCTTTTTACGGTCCTTCTCTCCTGCACTGGAGCTGAGGAGCTGCATGTTAAAAAAAGCTAGAATGCCCAGAAGCTTTGGCTGCAAATAGTCAGCCTGGAAAAAAATAAAAGAAAGACACCAAAGGTATTAACAAGGTTTATATTCCAGTTTGATCAACATTACACATTTCCAAATCTCTTCAGACTTCCACGTGTGCTTTCAAACATCTAAACCGGTACAAAACCCAAAAACATGGCCAATACCATATGCTCAGGGGTGGTGATATCGCGAGGACCCTGGTACGGATCATCGTTGGATGCAAACGAGGCCAAGATAGCCAGACCATTGAACACCTGCAAATAAATTCAGTCAACTATTTTAAAACCACCTAAAAAGGTCATAGTTAATAAACACGCTGCCAGAAAACCAAAACTAGAGGGTAACTTGAGGTATGAAGGAGACAGTTTAACCTGCTGGTAATGGTCTCCCAAACGCAGCAGCAGCTCATTGTGAAGACCCTGGAAGTCTTGACGCAGCAAAGAGCCAAGTTCGATCTCTGTCTCGCTCTGATGAAGGGAACATAAAGGATCAATAAAAGAAAAAGGTTTACTAGTCACTGCCGTTTTATAACCCAGTCCATTATTTATTTAACTCTAAATGGGGGCAAAGTTCACAAGTTGTAGAGCTGCTAATGCTAACGGTTAGCTAAGAGGCGCTCTGCTCTCTCCTGGACACTAAATCAAAGACAGCCTTCCCTGTTGCGAGCCAAGATGGGTGAGTCCATGAATGCTAATTTTCAGTGTGACGTAGATCTGACGGGCTTTTTTAATCCAAACGTTTCCCTGTCTATTTTCTATCAGCGGCTAATGCAGGACATAGGGGTAGGAGACTATTTTCATATTGGCTTGCATGAAAAACTCAGAGCGGCCAATCATATTTTAAAAATAAGTAAAATACGGTTTCCTAGTGAACTCTACATCAACAGTTTAAGTCAGGGGTGCCCAATCCTGGTCCTGGAGGGCCGGTATCATGCATGTTTTAGTTTGAACTCTGTTTCAACACACCTGATTTCAATCAGCAGCTAATTAACAGGCTTCTGCAGAGCCTGATGAGCTGCTGCACTGGTGATTCAACCAGTTAATCAAGTGTGTTGGAGCAGAAAACCCACAAAACCTGTTGGATACCGGCCCTCCAGGACCAGGATTGGGCACCCCTGGTTTAAGTAGTAGTAAGTCACTGGTCCGATGAATACCTGTAGGTAGTGAAAGGCCCTCTCCAGCTCCTCTTTGGTGCAGGAACAGACCAGATGGCTGAAGATGTACTTAAAATTATTAATCAGAATCTCTCTCCTGTTCGCCTTTAGCTCAGTGGCTAAAGTACGGATGAGGGCGGAGCCTGTGGAGCTGGCCTTGGCAGCTAAGTAGGGCAGCAGCACCTGAAGGGTTCGCTGCATATACAGAGAAAACATAAACACTGCATCACATCATGCAGCTCTAACGCATCTTCTTGTACACCATCTTTAGAGAAGAATATTTGAAGCATACTGTGAGGAAGCGGTGGAGGTCTGGGAAGTTGAAGGCATGTGCGATCTGAGCCAGGATGTCCAAAGCAAGCTCTCTCTGATTGGCTGATTCGCTGCTGTGATCTGGTGTGCTGCGTAGGGCCGATGCGTGACGCGAGTGCAGCGACTCCACCAGGAACTAAACACAGGGGAAAAATATGACAAACAGTCGGGTAAAATAACATTATAATAACATTTATGAAACACAATGAAAGAACACGGAATTATTCTGGTATTCTGTGCATTTTTAGTCAGCTGATGGTAAAATCACTGTATGATAAATATCTAAATTAATATCTATCTTAGAATAAAAAAGAATAAGTACGTGTTTTAGGGTTGTCATGGTAACCGGTGTAGTGGTAAACCCCAGTATAAAAGTTGACAATAATAATAACCGTCTTGTTTTTAAAAAAACTATATTATCTCGGTGGATTACCGTGGCTGCGGTGTAGGCGCAGTGACCCTTACCAGCCACCGTATCATCTGCTGAAGTTGCCGGCGGCACATGCGCGCTTTGTTGTTTACAACCAAAACTTTCTTGAAGCTAAAACTGAAATAATGGCCAAAGGAGGAGACGGCAGCGCTCAGGAGGACATTTATTATCCCTCAAAGAAGACAAAGTGGGAAGTACGGGCATATTTTGGATATTTGAAGAACGCCGAGGGACAGTTGATAGTTGATATCCTGTTTGCAGCAGGTGCAGAAAAAGTGTCTGTGAAAGGCAGCAACGCTTCAAATCTCATGACACATCTGCGTGACCATCACCCACAACTCTACAGTCAACGCAAGGCAAGCTAACGTTAGCGTTTTAGCTAAAATGCGTGATCCGAGGATTTGGGTTGAGGGAGAATGCAACGAGTCGCTATATAAAGCAGCCGCAGCGCCGCTACCTGCCTTATAAACCGTGTCACAGACACCCTCATGTTGAAACAACGCTATGCATTACGGGGCTCCCAGGGGCAGATAAGAGTTGGTCTCTCTCCGAGAATAATTATGAATTTAACAATGACTACTGCCTGATGACATTTTCCCACATCTGCAAAGCTCACTGGAAGGACACAAACCGAGGACAATATTTTCCTGATATAGGGTTTATTACTCAAGTAAGGGTAAAAAAGTATCTGATTAGAAGGCTACTTGAGTACTGAGTATCATCTGATCTAATATTTTAAAATGATGACATCAAACAGACAAAAAATAAGAAGTTATGGGCAAATCTTGGTATTTTAAAGACTAAAGGGGAAAAATGTAAACAAATAAACAACATAATTACAAAATAACACATTTTAGGCAAATTTTAGACACAAACTGAGGACAATATTTTCCTGACGTACAGGGTTTATTTAATTGTGTGAAAATGTAGCACGTTTAAAAAAAATACCGCGATAATACCGAAAACCGTGATAATTTTGGTCACAATAACCGTGAGGTTACATTTTCACACCGTGACAACCCTAACGTGTTTACAGGCCTTTTTTGTCAAATATGTACCTGGCAGATGGGGTTCTTGTATTGACTGAAAAGCGTCTGCAGTTTCAGACCTTTGGCAGCAGCCAGCGCACTGATCTGAGTGTACGCAGCCACAGACACTGAGGACGACTTGGACAGAAGACAGTGGAGGAGACGTAGCAGACAAAAGGACACCAAACTACCCTGAGAGGCTCTAACAAGAGAGGACAGAGAGGGACGATGGATACACGAGAACATCATTTCTCTTTCTGCTGAAAACTAAATTCATTAAGAATATCAGCAAATTTGAATTGCTTCTATGTTACTCAAAGATTAAATGAAACAAGAGAAAAGTGCATTTATACCTGCCAATCTCTCCGGTGGTGAGGATGAGAGTGTTTCGTAGATCATCATCTCTGTTGACTTTAGCGTTGTTGAACGCCTCCTTAAGACGTGCAACCAGAAGCTGAATGAGCAAAAAACAATAATATATGATTAAAAACGCCATTATCCCCAAAATACTCAAACCAAACCAACCATCAACAGTTTTTTTCTATTAGAAAATGTCGTACCTCATTCAAAACGCCATGCTCTGAGTTTTTGTTGGTCTCTGTCAACAGAAAGCGCACAGATTGGCCGAAGCGTGTTCTAACTGCAGGATCCGAATCCTCCATGAGGCCAATCAGGGCACAGAGAACTGCTCGGGAATCACCGTCTCCACCAGTCAGGTTCACATGTTGGCAGAGATGAGGCAGAGCTTCCAGAAACGCTGGTGAAGCAAAGGAAGCAGTGAGGCAAAGGCTTCCTAATGACAATGACACAAATCAACTAAACTGAAGAAGAACTCAAAGCACCTTGTTTAACACAACTTGGACATTGTGGTCTGAGTAAAGGGAGAAAAGGTCTAATGATAGAAGCCTTGAGAGATGCTTTTTCTTTCCCAGCATGCTCTGCTGCAAGGCTGCAGCAGAGACAGAGTATTTTAGGAGGACACGGGGACTCCACGCGGATGTCACAAAGCTCGGAGAGTCCTGAGGAGATGCAGCTGAGCTGACCAACAATCCTGGCGAGCTCCATCTTCACCTGCTCTGATGTGTCTTCCAGCATGGGCCTGAAACACCCAAGATGCAACACAAAACAAGACAGCAGCAATAAGCAAAAATGACAAAAACACTACAAGCTCATGAATGCCTGCAGAGAGGTTTTACACACAGCAGCGTCGTGTTAATCAGGTCATCCTGGGAGTCTCCCAGGTGGTGAAGGAGAACCGGGAAGACCTTGACAGCTGCAGCTCTCGGTGCCTCATTCTGACTCTGCAGCATGTTGCTGAAGACACACACACGCCACTTATCACACACACCGTGGTGCAGAAAGGCCAGCAGTGACACACAATCTGCCTGGACTTCAGGTGCTGAAAAGTCACAGAGTTTGATGTTAAATCAATTTGAAACTCACTCAGCTACGCAATATGTTTCTGAAGGAAAAAATGGTAATAAATTAGTATTTATCACCAGAATGTAAAGCAAGACTTGTCACGATTCCTCACCGTAACAGAAGCTGAGTCTCTGAGCCAAGGTGGGGAGCCAGGAGGGAAATCTTGAACTCTTAAAGACGGATGAAGACTTGTTCTCACACACCCATGGAAGAGACAGCAGAGCACACACATGCCGCTGGAGCTCATCCTCCACCTGGCTGCTCACTGCACAAGTATAAAAACATGATCACCACCATGCTGTTGTGATTACATTAATTCTTGACTTGATTGGTGTCAGAAATTTTACAGTAAACACGAAAACGATGGAAATAGCAACCCGAATTTAGACCTCCAGAGCTGCTTCTGTTTGCGTCCTTACATGTTAAGAAGAGAACAGAGTCAAGGATGCTGACAGTTGCCCGGAAAGCAGCATGAAAATAGTCCTGATCAGACACAGGTGGAGAGGCTCCTTCTAACACAGACTGGCAGCTCTTCAACATCCTGCCCAGAGTCCCTGGGGACAGCCAGGCCAAACGGAGTGAACTGTAGGGAAAGAGATCACAATCTGACATTGATCTTTGCAAAAAATCATCATCAGCAAGACTGGTATCAGTATTTAAGAGACATAAGTGTATTACCTGATGGGAGAGGAGCAGCAGGCTGCCAGGCGGAGGATGAGAGTTAGACCCTGCAGTGCAAACAGCACCTGTGTGCTCTGAGCTTCAGCAGAGTCCAAAAGTGTGAGCAATTCCTCAAGACGAGCGTTCAACACGGACCAAACCTCACCCTGAACCTGCATGGCCAGCTCACTACGGACATATAAACACAATCTCTTAAACATTAAAGAAATGCAGGTTTATGACAAAGTTAAACTTCTTACTCATGTTTGACTCACGCTGCCTTGCTGACTGGACTAACGGCAGATTTGCGGGACTTCTTAGCAGAACTCTCTCCATCTCCCGACTCCTGCATCACTGTCGCTGTCTCAGATTTCAGTGCGGCTTGAAGAAACCCTTCTGCACACTGGAAACCCCAAGCAGTGAGGTGGTAGAAGGAATAATAAATAAATAAAACTTAAAAAATATAACAATAATGAACAGATTCATACTTCTGCTTGATTTTCTGTCCCAATGGTGGCTGCCAAGGTTCTGCAGACATCTGTGACCCTCTGCTTCCTCAGCAGCACAGCACTCTCATGAATCTCAGCCACAGACAGTAAAAAACGGAACAGCAGGCAAACAGATTCAGTAACTTCTGACTCCAGTTTAACTCCTGCCCCTCCAAGAGCACAGACACACTCAAACATCTGTGAGAGGTAGATGGACTCAAAGTCAGAGGGAGAAATGTGGGACGACTGAAACAAACAGCGGGTTAAGTTGATCAGCTCTCCTCCATAGGGTTGGCTCTCGTTTGAGTGTTTTGCTGCGGATGTGTCGGAGTGCGTTTCCAGCAAATGAAAAAAGGCCGTGAAAAATTTGTGACACTGCATCTCGGGAAACCTCTGCAGCTCTACCAGTTTCCTTAGCAACACCATGGAGACCTTCCTCAGCCTGGTGTTGCCGTTAGCCAAGATGGAGCATGCCGTGTCCCAAGACAAACTCAGGTCCCGACAGGAAATGATTCCTCTCAGAGAGTCACTTGTGATACTGAGAGTCACAGCAGTCAGCGACTCCAAGGCAGCAGGAGAGGAGAGTAGAAGGAGAGTAGGGGTGAGGTAGACGGAGGCACGAATGGAACTGATGCTGAAGCATTGAAGCTTCACAGGCCATTTGTCCTGGATGTGAGCACCCACACTGTGTCCAGGTCCTGCCAGTGTCACTATGTGAGTGTGCAGGATGCTGCTAAGCTCCTGGGTCAATGATATGACTTCTTCGGTGAGGCAGCTGAAGATGAACGGCATCCTGACTCTTAGAGTGTGTAGTAAAGAGCACAATACGGCAGAGACGCGCCCGTGAATGACATCACAGCCTGGAGCTGCTGCCACACGAAGCAAATGCAGCATCACCCATTTACTGAAATCTGAAATCAAGGCAGAATATGAAGAAAAAGACAATGTTATGCTTTTGGCTTCTTCATAATGTGTGAAACTTTTCAACAATGTGTCGTTTAGTACCAGTGCAGCTCTGTACGGTGTCTGGGTAATCAGCAGGTTGGCAGGCAGGATTTGCAAACATCAGGGACGAGGATTTGACGATGTGCTGCACAAAGTCAAGCAGCATCACACATGCTGGCTCTGAACTGGACTTTTTATTTAGTCCTAAAGCAACTTAAAAAAAGAGAAGAGGGCTGTGTTTAACAAGTCTGGAAATCAGAAACATCTCTGAGTGATATTAGAAAAAAATTACAAAAGGATTTTAGAAAATAAACACACACATCTAAAAAAACAAAATGACAATCAGATGTTACTCTCTTAACATAGGTACATAACTGACATGATGTGGGTTTATTTTTACTTCTGAAGATTTTTGACTGATAGTTTTGCAGGTTGTGTTCCAAGATGTAAAAAACAAAAATGACCAGAATATACAGACAAATATGGTTTTCAACCCTTACAACCAGTACTTGACTAAAGAGCAAGTAACCCCCTACCAGAGTCTAACTCCTCTCCCATTTCCTGTTTGAAAAGTGCACCACAAGGACAGGCCTGGCAGACCGAAAGGGCAGAGCCTCTAACACACACACACACACACACACACACACACACACACACACACACACAGCAGCGTTGTGATATCATAATATACCAGCTAATGTCATAGGGTACCTCTTAACCAATAGCAACGGCAGATGTAAATTCAAATGCAGTGCAGTTTTTACCTGAAGAGGAAGCAACACGGACAGTTTTAGGCAGAATATTACAACTTTAATTAAGATGGACTAAGGTGCCAAATTATCCACTGATTCCCCTCTTTCCTATTCATTTTCTCTTTCCCTTTCCTTGCACTTTTAATCACAATTCTAAACTTTTTTCTTCTAATTTTAACCATATTTTCACGATTTTTGGCATTCTGAATTTTTTTGTTCTTGTGAAAGGCCTCAAGATTTTTATCTTGAGAGGCGCTAAGTAAAAGATAATTTTCTTTTTTTCTTTCTTTTCTTACTTGCTTTTTAAATGAATGAATAAATGACCACTATAAAGTTAACAGTTTGTAAAACATTTGGTTTATGTATGCGATGCATTTTTTATTTACTTGTTTCCATTAGGTTTATCAAAAATTGTTTAATACCTGTTCAGGTACAAGGGTCACTCCCCACCTAAGAGCACGTGCTAAAATTATTATTAAAACTAATAACCTTATAAGATCTAAAGGAAAAATAAAGGAAAACGAGCTTTTATTTGGCGCTGAATGGTCTCTGTTGGTTCGGTTTTTGTCCCCCGTTAGTAATGACTTACCGACGTCCACGTCAGTCAGTATCCTGTCAATAAACTGGCAGAGGATCTGTCGAGGTTTCTGCACGGCTGTTTCGTACTCAGCAGCGCTGGCACTGCAAACAGATAAACGATGTAACTTATAAAAAGAGTGATAGTTAAAGAAATAAAGTGAAGCCTCAGTAACAAACAAACGATTAGCCACTTAGCTTTTGGCTAACACTACTCACCTAGCTAGCTCTTGAAGAGCAGGAATCATCGCAGACATTTCAAGCCCGTCCATTTTTCCTCGTCTGCTTATAGTGTCGTCGTTCAAAGCTTCTTTAAGGTACTACTAGTGAGATATAACAGGTTATTTTAGCCAGAGTGCAAGTCCAATAGCTGCCCATCGTGCCAAACGCTTTCGAAAAGTTTCGCTCCAAACTGACGTAGTTTGTTTTCATACGGCACGCACGAAGGCCCAAAATACGAAACAAAAACTCAACGCCTTCCGAAATTCTCCTGATAAAAAGATTAAAAAGCATGATAGATTGAATAAACCAACGTGTGTTCACATGTCCGGTTCATTTGAGCTAGGCTCTGAAAGAACAGGTGGTATTACAACTCTGCAAATATAATTTTTATGTTTAGTGATCTTTATTTTAAAGTAAAAAAAATATCCTGAAAACAAAACAGTGAATTAATGAAAGGAATAAGTTCTGGGATGAAAATTATGTATGCCGTGCACTGTTTTGACATCATGGTTTATTATTGTCTGCAGTGCAGGTTCACTCAAGGTTGTTTTTATAGTTGCAGGCATTCTGCCATTGTGCTGCGTCTGTTAAAAGAGGAAGATATAGGGAGGTGGGCAGAATTATGAAAAGTTCTTGTACTTTGCTTTTGTCATCATGTGCCTGTGTCTTGTTGGACTGTAATCCTTGGTTCTGGGCTCATTCTGTGATCTTCATAGAGCGAGACCCAAACACTATTTATGCCTTTGGTGATAAATAATATGAAAACACATAAGTTCTATCTCTTTATTGTGTAATTCACAAGTTCAGTGAAACATTTCCACCACAGTTCTCAAAACATATATAGATGTTATATATAAAACTAATTAAAGAAATTCCTGTTTGAACGTTTGAGTGCTTGTTTGTCTAAATAAGCAGAAGCTACGAATGATCTGAGACAAGAAATTTACTGAAAAGAAATCATTGACAGACAGAAAACACACCAAAGCAGCCGGAATCTCGCAATAAAAAAAGAATTCACATATTTTTTAATTTCTGTTTTATTAGGCAATATAAACGTGTCAGAGGCAGATATTTTCTCACTAAGTATTGCATTACTTTTTATTAACATTAATATGAAGCCGTTGTTAATGCTTTATTTAATAGCTTATTAATAATACTAATAATGCACATTACGTTAATAAAGGACCCTTATTGTAAAGTGTTACCCGATAAATGTACAATGTATCGTTTAACTGTTGTTTTTAGGGTTATAAATAATTCTAAAGCATTTGTAAATGCTTAAATATTGATTATTTGTAATAAATTATATATATAGTACCTAATACCTTGTAAATGGTCATTTAATAACTTACTAAACACTTATAAACTTATTTGTAAACATAATCACAATCCTTTATAAATTTCTTCGATATGAGTAACTTGAACAGTATCCTTAACTTATTCACAAGACACCAAGAGCCCTCTGAGGACACAAGACTTTTGATCTAATCCTTTTAATAAAGTTTGCTTTTTTGGCTCATAAAATCTTTACTTGACAGGTTGTTACAATCATATTCTGTGGTACCTACAATATGCTTTTAAATCTAAAGTGTTTTAATAATGCTGTACAGTAATGAATGATGGGTTAACATGAATGTTTATTCCTATGATTAATTTCAGATCTAAAATTACACCAGATTTGTATTTTTGTTGAATTTTTATAATGATTTGTTTATCAGTATACTCACACATTAATAATATTATTATGAATGTTTAACATATTAACTTCACTTTATTAATAAAAATGATTTACTCCACATTAGGTGAATAACCTCTAAGTGTTTGAGAAATGAGTGGTGTCTGAGGGTTTTGATAACGCCCACTTTAACTTGTCAAATTCTGATTTGTCCACATTGATAAACAATAGTTAATAAAAGAGAGTTCATTTCTTGAACATGTGAGTTCCCCCACTGATGCCAGAGGAACACATTGTTCTTAACCCCCCCCCCCCCCCCCCCCCCCCCCCCCCCCCCCCCCCCCACACACACACACACCACCACCACCACCACTCCCGGGCTCTCATGGCTTTGCTTGGTTCAAAGGAGCCAGTCTTTTGAACGGCTCGTAAACAACCGACTAAAGAACAGCTCCCAAAGAGCCATGAATCCCATCACTACTTATTTTACAAGCCAGACGTCACAATTTTCTAAGACACTTAATCAGGTTTTGCTACATAACATCTAAGCTTACATTCCATCATTTCATTTATTGTCTCGGTTATCTTGTTTCAACCATCATTCTGTCACGTTTTGCTCTTACATCACGTTACACCATGTTACATTGTTATATCCTCATGAGCACAACACCCAAAGCAGTTTTTTGCTTCAAACATGCCTTTTCCTGCAGCTGCAGATCCTCTTCATACATGGTGGGATGCAAATGTTTGGACTGCGTAAATCTTCATGATTTTCGTGATTTTTCCTGTATAAATCATTGGTTGTTACAATTTTTAAAAAATCTGTGAAGTGTTTTATCATACAGGAGACACACACAGTGATGTTTGAGAAGTGAAACAAAGTTTATAGGATTTAGTGAGCAATAATTGTTTAAACAAAAATAGGCAGGTGCAGAAATTTAGGCACCACAAAAAATGAAACAAACTCAATATCTAGTAGTTCCTCCTTTTTCAGAAACAATAGCCTTCCTATAGCTTCCAATGAGAGTCTGGATTCTGAAGGTATTTTGGACCATTCTTCTCTACATCTCTGGTTCTTTCAGGTATTATGGCTTCCAAGCACAGACTGCTCTGTTTCACTCACACACATAATATTCAGGTCTGGGGACTGAGATGGCCATTCCAGAACGTTCTACTTGTTCCTCTGCATGAACGTTTTAGTAGATTTTGAGCAGTGTTTTGGGTCATTGTCCTGTTGTAAGATGCAGCCCCTGTGCAGCTTCAGCTTTGTCACTCATTCCTGGACATTGGTCTCAAGAATCTGCTGATATTGAGTGGAATCCATGCGCCCCTCAATAACTTTAACACGATTCCCAGTCCCTGCACTGACCACACGTTGGTGACGAGCTGTTTGTGGTAATGGAGTATACCTGCAGGGCCAGATTAACACTTTGTTGTACCCTGGGCACCAATATTAAAGGGCTCCATCATCACGACCCAAGGATCACCATAATATGGTCACATACAGAATATTTCACTAATATGCAGTAAATATACTCAATACTTGAATGCCTGGTATCACGTAACCCGCTCAGGGTAAACTTTGACCCACCTCGTGTGGACTGACCAATGAGGTGAGGGTCTTAACTTGAGGCCCTCTCTTCATTGGTCAGTCTGCATGAGACTGACTCTCAACTGACGTTCAAAGCAAAGTCATAGGCAGCGAAGCGTCTCTGTGCAGCGCAAAAGCCCGGGTGGACAGTTTGTTTAATATAGGGTGACCATATTTCCATTTCCAAAAAAGGTGACAGGGGATCTGTGCCTATGACGTCACACTATGGCAACGCCACACAAACCACGCTGGGACCCATTTCTTTGTAAGAACTAAAATTAATATCAGATTCTGCCAATTAAAGGGCTCTAAAACAATTCATATGTAAATATTTAGCATATTTGATGCAAAATCTAATTTTTCTACTTTAGTTTTGCAACAAGGTTTTATTAATAAGAAATGATTATACCTTTTGTTTTACTACAACATCGGTAAGCTTCCTGTGCACATATTATTAAGGATGCTTGTTTCAGCTGTGAGATTAGACGATAGGATCAATGAAAAAATAAGTTGTCACACTGGAAACTTTCAGATAATCCACAAATAGTGGCTTTCAAATGGTTTTGTTACTTTTTGCAAGTTTAGAAAAGAAGCAGATGAGACAGCATGTCTGATAATTTAGTTTTTCATCTGATAATATTAGAACATGTCAGTAATGTCTGAGGGGCTTTTATAAACACTGTATAACTAATACTCCTGGAGAGGGTATGAATTACACAGAGGCTTCTGGGGAGCCCAGTTCTGTTTTGCCTTGGCCCCCAAAATGTCTTGAAACGGCCCTGGCTGTGTGACTGAGTTTTGAAGGTGATCTGAATTGTATCAGATGTATAAATATGACATGTGTGTAACTTATTGCTTCATACAGGTAAAAACGTGTAGTGGAGATAAATTACCTATATTTTACTTTTCAACACTTTGTTTTGTTTTCTTGTTTTCATTTAACTATTTTCCTGTCCTGTCTGTCTCTCATCTTCCTGCATCTCCTCTAAAGTCTCCAGAAAATCTGCTGCCTGGATTCTTACTTTTTCACCTCATCAGATACTTTTGAGGACATCAAAGGGATCTCCTGACCGCAAAGCAGAGTGCGCGTCGATGCTGCGTCAGTGAGGTGAAATCACGCTGCACAGGTGATGAGCTGCGCAGTAGCAGAGCGCTTCAGGCAGAAATAAGACAGAAAGTAGAGAACATGTGCGGACATGAACGATCGTGTGTTAATTATAGTTTTTTGGTTGCGCCACTTTGAGAATGGACCGTGCGCTGGACGCAGCAGCCCGGAGCGCTGCGCACCAATCATCCTCTGCCGCTCTCTGCTCAAAAGAGTCATGAATGATGTAATATAGGTAGAAAACGTTTTTTTTTTCGGTGACGTTTTCTCAGAACACTTGATCTCTGACTGATGTGACAGAAACGTGCATGGACGAGGCTCAGATCGCTTCGGTTAGCAGAGAGGTAAGGCTCATCTCACAACTGGCTGAAACCAGTTATTTTAGCTACACACTAGTTTAGAAACTCATACAGTCAGGTTCTCTCCCATGTTGCTTTGTTCTGCCTTAAATTCCACTACAATTGAGTATTTGATATATTAATACTCGCGTTATTTCATGAAATATCGCGAGACTTTTGCATAACCATCCCCCCAACCCAGAAGATTACACAGTTTGAGACTAGCATGGAACATCTGAATTTGAAAGTTTTCTGGTCTACGGTAATAACTTTTTGCCTAAATTTAATCCATAGGTAAATATGAAATGTTAAACATTCATATAATAATGTAAGTAATATTTATGTCGTTAGTTATTTATAGTTAGAATTTAAGCTAATGTTAGCTGTTTGCTCATCTGATGTGGTCTCAAACAACACCCCAAATAGAAAATTACACATACTTAACACTACAGGGCTGCCAACTTTTGAACATTTCAGAGAGTGAGATGGGGGTTGAGTCATGGG